TGGAGCTGGTGCTGCTGCGGGCGTTGGTGCTAAGCCTCCTGCCCACGGTCCTGCTGGGGGTACTACTGGTGCTGCTGGCGGTTCTGGAGCTGCTGGAGGTGCTGCTGGAGCGGGTGCTCCTTCTGGGGGTACTGGTGCTGTCCCTGCTGTGTCTGGCGTCGCCGCGCGGCTTCGACCGTACTTCGTTCCACTCCTGCAGCAGGTTCTTGGTCTTCCACCTTCTACGGGTCCTCCTCCTTCTTTAGAGTGTCCACAGCCTGTCTCGTCACAGCTACACTTACAGCCTGCCTCCCCACTACCTACTCCCTCTCCCTACACTGGTCCTACTGGAGGTCTTGCTGAGCGTCGTGAGCCTGTGTCTCGTCCTGCGTCGCGTGTTCGTGCTGCTCGCACTAGTGGTCGCGGTTCGCGTCAACGTCCTCCTCCTGTCCCTGGCACGCACCGGATGTCTCTGCGTCCGTCCACTGCTCCTCTGCGTGCCCCTTTGCCTTCTCGTGCGTCCTCTCTTCCTACTCTTGCCGACCCGGAGTCGGACTCTCTTCGTGCTGTCAGTCCTACTGTCACGCGTCTCCTTGCTACTGTCGTCACTGACCCTTCTTTCGAGTCCACTGCTGCGTCTGCCCTAGTTGCTGAGCTCGTCGACTTTGCTGCTCGCTGTCGCCTAGACTACGCTGCTAGTCTTGTCGCTGAGTCTGAGTCTGTCTGTCCTCCGTCCGTCGGGGGTGAGTGTGCCCTTGGCACGGACGTCCTTGAGGACAGGCAGGAGGAGTTCCAGTGCTTGGCCGCTGCTTCACCTCATCTCGTGTCCGTACTGCTTACCCCTGAGGGAGACCCAGATGCACTTGACATCCCGACTCCGCGCTCTTACGCGGAGGCGATAGAGGGTCCCTACTCTTCTCAGTGGCAGGCAGCTATGGATGTAGAGATGGCGTCCTGGAAGTCCACAGGCACCTACGTTCACGCTGTCCCCCCTCCTGGGGCGAACATTGTCAGTGGCATGTGGATTTTCAGGGTGAAGCAGCCGCCGGGTTCTCCGCCTGTCTTCAAGGCACGGTACGTGGCTCGTAGCTTCAGTCAGCGGCAGGGAGTTGACTACTTTCAGACCTTCTCTCCCACCCCGAAGATGACCACTCTTCGGGCGCTACTACACGTTGCCGCTCACCGTGAGTACGAGCTGCACTCCCTCGACTTCAGCACAGCTTTCTTGCAGGGCAGCCTGCACGAGGAGATCTGGCTGCGTCGCCCACCTGGCTTCACTGGGTCGTTCCCTCCTGGTACCCAGTGGAGTCTCCGGCGCCCAATCTACGGTCTCCGCCAGGCGCCCCGTGAGTGGCACGACACACTGAGGACTACTCTTGCGGCTCTTGGGTTTGCTCCTTCTACAGCCGACCCGTCGCTGTTTCTGCGCACCGACACCTCTCTGCCACCTTTCTACATCCTCGTGTACGTCGACGACTTGGTCTTTGCCACTGCTGACACTGCTGGACTCGCCTACGTGAAGTCCGAGCTGCAGAAGAGACACACGTGCACAGACCTGGGTGAACTGCGCAACTACCTTGGCTTGCAGATCACCTGGGACAGAGCACGCCGCACCATTACCCTGACTCAGTCACACATGGTGCAGTAGGTCCTTCAGCGCTTTGGCTTCACGTACTCCTCGCCTCAGGCCACTCCTCTGCCTACTCGCCACTCACTCTCAGCTCTGCCTTCGGATGAGTCCGTAGAGTCGAGTGGCCCGTATGCAGAGCTTGTTGGCTGCCTCATGTACCTGATGACCTGCACACGACCTGACCTTGCATACCCTCTTAGCATTCTCGCACGCTATGTTGCTCCTGGGAGACACCGACCAGAGCACATGGCTGCAGCGAAGAGGGTGTTGCGCTACTTGTGCAGTACGTCGGGCATGGGGCTAGTGCTTGGAGGGCAGAGTCCAGTGGTCCTCACTGGGCACGCAGACGCTTCCTGGGCTGACGACCAGGCTACACAGCGGTCGTCACAGGGTTACACCTTCAGTCTTGGTTCCGGCTCTGTCTCGTGGCGGGCTACTCGCTCGTCTTCTGTTCTCGGCTCCAGTTGTGAGGCTGAGATCTACGCCGGGGCCATGGCTGCACAGTAGCTTCGCTGGCTCACCTACCTGCTGACCGACCTTGGAGAGCCCCCTCGTTCTCCTCCAGTTCTGTACGTAGACAGCAAGGCCATGCTGGCCTTGTGTCGAGAGCAGCGACTGGAGCACAGAACGAAGCACATTGCTCTCCGCTACTTTCTTGCTCGTGAGCTACAGCAGCGTGGTCAGTTGCGGCTTGCGTACGTGGCCTCTGAGGCCAACATTGCTGATGTTTTCACCAAGGCACTTGCGCCTTGTGATCATCAGCGCTTCTGCACTCAGCTGGGTCTTGTCTCTGTCTTGCCTCACTTGCTCACCTCTTGACCTTGCTTGTACTGTTACATATATATATATATATATATATATATGCTCTTGCTTGTCTAGCTTTATATATATATATGTACTCCTGCATGTGAACTGGCCTTGTGGCCTTGAACTTGTGCTCAGAATGTGTGGTGACTTTGTGATCCACCCTGAGCTTTGCTTTGCTTTGCTTTGCTTGACTGGTCTTGTGACCCCCTGTTCTCCCCCACTTTGCCTATGGGGGTGTGTCAGAACATTATAGCTTATGTTTTTGTGTAGGCTATAGTGGGGTATCCCATAGGGGGTACAACCCAATTAGGGTTTCCTATTTGTACTCACTTCATTCATAGTTCATTCATTCTAGTTCTACTCTTCTCAAACACGGTAGCAGCTGCAGCGGTATTATTATTGGCCCGAAATATTGACCGACGTACAGCGACACGTGGCATCGTGTCCCACTTGCCAGATCATGAAGTCAACCCGGAAGCGGCCGGCGGGACAGTTGCAACCAATCCCACCCCCAGAGCGTGCTTGGCAGCAGGTGACGATGGACTTCGTCATGGGGTTACCGGCCGGAGCGAGTGGGAATGACGCGATCCTGGTCGTCGTCGATCGACTCACGAAAATGGCACACTTCGCAGCTTGCAAGAAATCAATCACAGCTGAAGAAACAGCCCGCCTCTTCATCTCCACCGTCGTTCGACTTCACGGGATACCAGCATCAATCATCAGCGATAGAGACACGAAGTTTACCAGCAACTTCTGGCGGAACCTGTGGCAGCAATTCGGCACGCGACTACTGTTTAGCTCATCATATCACCCCGAAACAGACGGATAGACAGAACGGACAAATCAAACCATGGAGCAACTCATCAGGGCCACGTGCGACGATCCAAACACGTGGGAGCAGCAACTGCCACTCATCGAATTCGCATACAACAATGCCCCATCCGCCACGACCCAACAGTCACCGTTTTACCTGAATTACGGACAAGACCCAACAGTACCCATGACCCCGAATCCCGACAACCCGGTTCCACGCGCGCAACAGTTCGCTGAAATTCTGCAAGCAGCACGGACCAGGGCAGCAGACGCAATAAAAAAATCGAACATCATCGCTAAACGCAACGCCGACCGCCACCGCAGACCTGCCACTTACCAGCCCGACGACCTAGTTTTACTCGACACTCAGAATCTCCGACTGCCCATCACACCCAAACTCCGCCCCCGATACTGTGGGCCATTTCGTATCAGCCACATGATAACACCCGTCACCGCCCACCTCCTCCTCCCTGCTGACTGGTACGTCAGCCCCTCGTTCCACGTTAGCGTGCTTCGCCCCTACGTCCCATCCACAAGCCAACTCCCACGCAATCGCCCAGCCAGCATGGCACGACCGCCAACCGAACCAATCATCGTCCCCGACAAAATCGTGAGCCACAGAGTTCGTGACCCTCGAGGAGCCCGAAAGATCGAGTTTCTGATCCGCTGGAAAGACCGTACACCCACCGAAGACAATTGGGTTCCCCTGGACAGAATCGAAAACCACCCTGTTCTCACCGAATATCTGCGCAGCCGAATCTTCAGGGACGTCCACGCACTTTCGCAAGGAGGACCTCCTTAGGAGGGGGGGGTAGTGTAAGGAAAATCGCTTTTCCTTACTTCGCATCCCTGCTCAACGCGTACATCACTGTAGCACCACAGTCAGCACCGTTACCACTCGCGATCCTCGCCTCGACAATCAGCCCGCCATTTTCGCACATCGCATCCCAACCTCACGGCTCGGCTGGTAACCCGCGCTCCGGGCCTCCACTTCGACACTTTCCCAAACCTCAGTCCCAGGCCCGTCGCGCGACAACCACAGCCCATTACCGTTACCACTGTAGTTTCGCTATATATTCTTCGCTCATGACTTCGCTCATTGTACTCTTGCTTCGATAGTGCAATTCTCGTTCATTCACTCAATTGCACTCGTAACAGTGTGCAACAGGAGGAATGAGAATTTAGATGGCGGTCTCTACCCCGTGTATAATGTAGGTGTTCACATGTAACCATGATTGACGGAGATGGAAAGAGTTGAGACTTTACAACCATGATAAGCTCTTAACACGCTTCAGAGTAGCGTTACCTACACCCTCCCACTAATATAGAGGAATATGCTGCGTTCTCATTTTGGCCTTCTCGAGCCACCTTATGGCGAAGTTTTTTCGTCCCTCGATTGTTGTCCCACCACAACACGTAAATTGCTTGCTCATATGTGCCTCACACGCAAGCAGCGTTCCATAAGCTACCATACTGTCCTTCATCCTCCTCCTCCTCTACCCCTCGCTCACTTACTCTTCCCTCTCTTCTCCGCACCACGCCTCTTCTATCCGGCTGAGGCCAGCCTCGAATTCTTCTGACGTCAGCTCCAGCTGATGAGTCACCCGTTTTCCTTCGACCAATCAGAAGCCATCCTCCCCCCAAGCAATGATTCGCCCCGGTATTCTCGAAGTGACACGTCAGCGCACTCTGGAGCTCGCTCGGACGGCGGGCTTGGGATCTTGGCGCTCACGAGCCGCCTCCTGGGCGACATCCCGCATTTCCCGCCGCAATGGTCGGGGCTGTTCCTAATCGGATTGCTACTCTCACTGTCCTGGTTGGCGGGCCGCGTGCGGTTCGGCCTCCTTCCCGTGCTGCTAGTGTGCCTGTTCGTGTACCATGAGGTAAAACAAAGCCAATTGCAGCCATAGTATAAGGATGTGGTCGCTTCTGTCTTTTTTTTTTTTTTTTTTTTTTTTTTCTCCTCCGTTTTTTCGTGCTAGTGATCTGGTTTTGAGCCGGCATGACAGCCCCGTTCGGCCAACCCTCTTGCAGGTGTCCTAGCAGCAGAGAGCTCAATAACCGGCCCATGTCTCTCCCCCCTCCCTCCCTCCCACTCCTCCCAACAGGTGTCCAAGCGACAGAGGGTGCGAGAGGTCAAGGCTGCGCGGGTGGCGGCGCTACAGGCGGTGCTGCAGCGGCATCCCATGGGGGACTCGGAGACGGCGCACTGGCTTAACGCGCTCGTGCAGCGCGCCTGGCCCGTCTTTCTCGAGCGCCTGCTGTCCACTCAGCTCGCCCCCGCCCTCGCGCCCTGGTTCTTTGAGAAATACCGCCCCTGGCAGGCCGTGAGTTGGGGAGTTGGGGCGTAGGGGACGGGAATGGGTGCACTGGGGTGTAGAGGGGGTGGGAATGGGCGCATTGGCTGAACGCGTTCGTTCAGCGCGCCTGGCCCGTGTTCCTGGAACGCCTGCTGTCCACCCAGCTCGCCCCCGCCCTCGTCCCCTGGTTCTTTGAGAAATACCGCCCCTGGCAGGCTGTGAGTTGGGGCATAGGGGGTGGGAATGGGTGCAGTGGGGTGGGAATGGGCGCACTGGCTGAACGCGGTCGTGCAGCGCGCCTGGCCCGTCTTTCTCGAGCGCCTGCTGTCCACTCAGCTCACTCCGGCTCTCGCTCTCTGGTTCTTCGAAAAGTACCTGCCCTGGCAGGCGGTGAGTGGGGGTTGCACTGGATGTAAAGGGGTGGGAGACAGCGCACTGGCTTAACGCGCTCATGCAGCGCGCCTGGCCCGTCTTTCTCGAGCGCCTGCTGTCCACTCAGCTTGCTACTGCTTTGGCTCCCGGTTCTTCGAGAAGTACCTGCCCTGGCAGGCGGTGAGCTGGGGTACAGGGGGCGGGAATGGGTGCAGTGGGTTGTGGTTGGGCCATAGGGGCTGGCAGACGGTGAGCATGAGCATGGGCCCACATGCTCCTGCACCCTTCCCGCATGTGCAGCGCAAGGCGTGGTTGGAGCGGGTGTATCTGGGGTGACTCTTGCCCCGACTCAGACCCCCGTCTTCCCTCCTCTCCTCTCCTCTCCCCCCCTCTCTCCCTCCCCACGGGCAGCGCAAGGCGTGGTTAGAGCGGGTGTATCTGGGCAGTTCGCCGCCCGTCATTGCTGCTGTCAGGGTCGTGCACACCAACACTCTTGATGACCACGTGGTACGACGTGGTGGGGTGCGGTGCTGCGTGACAGTGGTGTGATGTGATGTGATGGGATGTGCCTGTGGTGCCGTGATGGTATGGTATGGTTTTGCATGGTATGGTATGCCCTGGTGGGGGTGAAGATGCGGCTGTCTAGACTCCTCCCCCCCTCTCCTCCCTTCTCCCTCCCCGTTCTACCCTCCTCTGCAGGTCATAGAGGCAGCCACGGAGTTTGCAGCGTGCACCGACATGTATGCCTTGGTGGGGGTGAAGATGAGGCGTCGCGTGGCACTGGGCATGGTGGCAAAGGGGCACGTGTCGGGCGTGCACATAGAAGGGAAGGTGGGATGCAGGCAGGATGTGGAGGAGGTGGGATGCTGGGACTCACTGTCAAGCCTGGGTTAGACGTGTTGTGCTGCAGAGGATAGCTAGCAACATAACTTTCCCTGTCTAGCGTTCTCCTCATTGTATCCGACTTTTTAGGCGCCTCAAAAGTAACTTTCCCTGTCTCGGGTTCTCCTCATTGTATCCGACATCCTCACTCCTCCCTCCCTGCCTTCCTCGCCTCCATGAATCCCGAGCCTGCAGACAAGGATCGGGATGAGGTTCACCTCGGAGTTTCCGTACGTGAGTCGCGTGCGAGTGAGCTTCGTGGGGGCGCCGTTCATCGGGCTCAGTGTCAAGCCCTCAGCCCACCTCGGATTCAACCTCGCTGACCTGCCCTTCTTCAGCTCCTGGCTGGTGCGTGCTCTGTGTGGGTGTGGGGGGGCATGGCATGGGATTGCAGCGGCCATTTGAGTCAACTGACATGATGACACCCTTCCTCCAGCAAGCCCTCAGCTCACCTCTGATTCTGGCTGCTGCGTGGGGTGGTGGGTGCATGGGTGCATGGGTGCATGGGTGGATGGTTGGATGGGTGCATGGATGCATGGGTGGATGGTTGGATGGGTGCATGGGTGCATGGGTGCATGGGTGCATAGGTGGATGGTTGGATGGGTGGATGGGTGGATGGGTGCATGGGTGGATGGGTGCTAAGTTGCAGAGGACGCACTCTTAGACGCAGGACGCAAAGCAGTTTTTTTTCGGGCTGCCCGAAAATAAACCAGGCCGCGAAATCGCCCATTCGTGATTTCGACGCCGATGTTAGATCTGCGAATTCGTAACTCCACGGGAGCGATGTCGCCAAGCAAAATCGCAAACGAATGGGAGCCATTTTTGCAAGGCAAAATCGCTAGCAAACCATTTTTCCCCCAACCACCACACATTACCGCACTGCATCTTCTTCCCCCAACCTTTGTCAACCTGAACCTCATGTAAGAAGTGGATCAGGTCAACATTCAGAGCTTTCTCTCCTAGTCGACCTGATTTTCTTTCGAAAACCCTAAATCTCGGTTTAACTATGTGTGTAAAAATCTGGTGTTTAGGGAAGGTTTTCAGGATAATCCACGTTCAATGTGGTTGCAATGTCCCGAAACCCCCTCTCTCCCCCTCCTAGACGGTTTTTTTGCATGCCCGAACGTTTTTTTACCCTGCCCGGCCCTGCGTCTTTTTAGCGTCTCGGGACCCTTTCAACTGCGTCCTGCGTCTAAGACGCTGCGTCTGGACGCAACGCGTCCAGGACGCAGGACACGTCTTCTGCAACACAGGATGGGTGCATGGGTGCATGGGTGCTTAGTTGGTACTTTACGTTTTTTTGGGTCACGTAAACGTAATCTTACGCTTGAGTTTACCTTTACGTTTTCTTACGCGTAATTTTACGTAAAGTCGCACGGGCAGGGCAAAAAAAAGTTTTTTTGCCCGCGAAACGAAAAAATCTGACTGATATGAGGTGGGAGAGGCTGCTACATGTTTGTGTAGATTTGGGGCATCTGTAAGTTGATGTAATAATGTGCTAACATGCTTGGGCGTAGAAGAACCAAGCTAGTGATAAATTAGGCGCTTCCCATGCAGCCACTTAGTCCGATGATTTCTTATATTTCCGGGCAGTTAGAACTGTTTCTAGCTGACCGTAAACGTAAAGCCATTTTTAGCCCACGTAAGTAAACGTAAGTTTACTACGTAAAGTCACGTAAACGTAAACCACCGTAAACGTACAATACCAACTAAGGATGGGTGCGTGGGTGCTTGGGTGGATGGGTGCACTCATGCGCTCATGCACCCCTTGCATGCACACATGCACACACCACAGGACGAGATGCTAGCAACAGCACTGGAATCATCAATGTTGAGTGCTCAACAGCCCAACATGCTCGTCCTCGACGTCGCCCGTCTCGCCGTCCCCTTTTGAGGCACCTCAAATCCCCACCCCCCCTTCCTTTCCCCCTTCGTGCACGTGTGCACAGGATGAGATGCTGGCAACAGCGTTGGAATCCTCAATGGTCGCACCCAACATGCTCGTCCTCGACGTCGCCCGTCTCGCCCACCTCTTTCTCTCACCCTCACCCGCCGCTTCCTCTCTTCCGCACCCCCCTCACCCTTCACATCACTCCGCACACCACCCTCACCGTCCGCACTGCCCTCACTGCACGCACTGCTCCGAGCAAGCAAGCCAGGCAGCATCCGCTGCTGTCTCACCTGCTCCCACTGCCATTTCAAATGTTGCTTCTTCTGTCCCCAGTGCTACCACTGCCACTTCAACTGTCGCTTCTTCTGTCCCCAGTGCTGCCACTGCCACTTCAACTGTCGCTTCTTCTGTTCCCAGTGCTGCCAGCATCTCTCCCATCTCCTCCTCCGTGCCTCCCTTCCCGCCTGCCATGCTCGCCGCGGCCCAAGCAGCTGGCATATCCCAGTTCGTTCCTCACTCCCCTGCAGCCACCAATCCGACAGCAGCAACACCCACACCCACACGCACTTCCCCTCAGCACCCAACACCCTCAACCCCCTCAAACCCCTCAGCACCCTTAGCAGTCCCAACCTCCCCGTCCCAGCCCCATCCGCTCCCCCCACTCACCGCCGCTCTCCACGTGGACTCCTCCTGCCCAGTGGCCTTCGTGGCCGTCGAGATCATCGAGGCGCGGCACTTAAAGCCCGCGAACCTGGACGGCACGTCGGACGCGTACGTCAAGTGCGCACTCGGAGCGGCGCGCTTCACGACGCGCATCGTGTGGGGGTCGTTAGATCCGCAGTGGTTCGCCGAGTTCACGGCGCCCGTGTTCTCGTGGCGTCTGAGCAACCTGCTCGTGCTGAGAGTGCTCGACAAATCCTTCCTCTGCTCCAAGGACCTCGGGTGAGTGCTGGGGCAAGTTGGCTTGGCTTGGCTTGGCTTGGCTTGGCTTTACCACGCGCATCGTGTGGGGGTCGCTGGACCCGCAGTGGTTTGCCGAGTTCACGGCGCCAGTGTTCTCGTGGCGTCTCAGCAATCTTCTCGTGCTGAGAGTGCTGAACAAGCCTTTTCTCTGCTCCAAGGACCTCGGGTGAGTGCTGGGGGCAGTTGGCTTGGCTTGGCTTGGCTTTACCACGTGCATCGTGTGGGGGTCACTGGACCCGCAGTGGTTTGCCGAGTTCACGGCGCCAGTGTTCTCGTGGCGTCTCAGCAATCTTTTGGTGCTGAGAGTGCTGGACAAGCCTTTTCTCTGCTCCAAGGACCTCGGGTGAGTGAGTGAGTGCTGGAGAGCAGCTGCCTGGGGTGCTTGCTTGGTGTAAAAAGAGGACTTTTGAGACGTCTCAAAAGTACTCTTTTTCCACAAGTCTTTTCTCTCCTCCAAAGACCTCGGGTGAGTGAGTGCTGGGGAGCAGGTGCCTGGGGTGCTTGCTCCTGGCTCTTCGTTCCGTCCGTCCCTCCCTCTGTCACTCTCTTTCCCCTTCCTTCCACTGCACCAGCTATTGTGTGGTGGACGTTGGGAGGTACCGGCGGTGCTGATTTTTATAGTCGATTCAAAGGTCAAAGTTAACTCATTCCACCCCCCCTCCCCCTTTTACAACCTCCCCCCCCTCTCCCTCCCATCAGCTATTGTGTGGTGGATGTGGGGAGGTATCGGCGGGGTGGCAGGCGGGAGATGTGGGAGACGTTGAGAGGGGTGGGGCGCGGTCGAGTGCGGTTGGCGGTGACTGTGATCAGTACAGAGGAAGCGGGGAGGAGGGAGGAGGAGGAGGTGAGGGGGGTGAGAAGCAGGGAGAGTGAGGGGGGTGAGAGGAAGGAGGGAGGAGCGGAGGGGGGTGAGGGGCGGGAGGGGAATGAGTGGCAGGCGGGTGGGGAGGGTGGGTCAGGAAGAGGGTCTGATGCTGGTGGTGGGGGTGGGGGGAAGGCAGTGGAGGGGAGTGAAGGGAAGAAAGAGGGACATGGTAGGTCGAGGAAGGCAAGTAATGGGGAGCAGATGGGACTGCGACGGAGGATGCGTGGGAGGAGGAGAACGGGAGGGGAGTCATTAGACTGGGAACAGGAGACTCGGAAGAAGCAGGAGGAGAAGGGGAAGGAGGGTAGGGGGGAGGAGGAGAGAGGGAGAGTGGAAGAGGAGAGGGGGAAAAGGGATAGAGGGGAGAGCGAGAAAGGTGAGGGTGGGAGGGGCGACGAGGTAATAAACTCAGAAAACGATGGTGGCGTTGGAGATGGCGGTGGTGGGAATGGTGGTGCTGCGACTGGTGGTGAGAGGGAGGGGAGGGGCGGCAGCGCGGGCCGGCCAAGGCTGGACCACGGCTTCCCTCTCAATCGCCCCAACCTGCTTCCGCCAATACGCGTCAGCCACGTGGCAGAACATGACAGGCCGCTGGTCACCGACACAAGATACGATTCTTTGCGGCGTTTCCGCCCTTCTACCTCGTTCCTGACTGCCCCTGGGTCGTTCGAAGGGCCGCATCGACGCTCTCTGCTGGCCCCATTCAGTGGGGCGCATGAGCATGAGCATGAGCATGAGCATGAGCATGGGGGCTTCGCGATGATGTCTCCTTACAGTGGCCCACATGGGGGTTCTCTCACTGCTGCTGCCTCCTTCAGCGCTCCTACCACTCCCACTGGCAGGGGCAGAGGCAGAGGCAGAGGGGGCGTGGGAGAGGATGTGGTGGAGGGGGAAGGAGGAGGAGGAGGGCCGTACTCTCCTCTCGAAGGCTTGTCTGGTGGTGGTGGTAACGCTGCTGCTGCTGCTGTTAGTGCCGGCAGAGTGTCCGGCACACACAAAGGCAACCCTGTGAGTCGCATCAAAAGCATCCACGCAGCAAGCTCAGCAGGCAAGCACACCCCCACCACCACCTCCTCCTCCTCCTCCTCCTCCTCTTACCACACCGGCCACACTCCCAACTCTGGCATTTACTTCGTGACTGAAAATGGCATTGTGGATGGCACAGTGGATTCGTATGAAGGGTTCGCCACAGCAGGGGACTTGTGGGGGGGGAGCGAGGAGGGCGGGGAGGGGGAGGAGCCTCCCAGCCCGTGTTTGTCGGAGCCGTCGCTGTCTGTGCTGCGAGGGATGGCGTCAGGACAGGCCCTCGGGTGGTGGGGTGACGAGGTTGGGGAGGGAAAGGAGACGGTTGACACGGCACAGGGGAGAGAAGAGCCTTCGCCCTGGCAGCACCAACGACAGCAGCAGGAGCAGTCACGGCCGCGGCCGCGTTTGGAGAGAAAAGCAGCTCTTTCTTTTCGCACGCGCATGCAGCTGGAGCGACAGCAGGAGCAGCGCGATTCAGAAGCAGCCGAAGCAGCAGCGGCTGCGGCACACGCCGAAGCAGCGGCCGCTGCTGCCAGCACAGCCCGCCAGCTGGACAGAGACGAGCTGGCGCTCCTCTCTAGGCTCCACGTGGACCAATCAGAAGAGGTCAGCATCCAGGGGGTCCCGGCAGGTTCGGGGATCTTGAAGGTCGTTCGGCCCGGAGCTGACCCCGGGCCCGAGGCTTGGAAGTGCCGGCAGGGAGGGAGGAAGGCTGAGGCTGAGGCTCGGGAAAGGTTTGTGGAGGAGGAGCAGGAGGGGACGGTGCTGGGTGGACTGGTGAAGGCTTATCTGAGTGAAAGCTTGCACGGGGGGAGATTGGGTAGTGTGAGTAGGTCACAGGAGAATAGAGCGGTTAGGGAGGATGGTGGGAAGGTGGGCTCAACTGGGGAAGAGCGGAAACGAGGGGGCTGGAGGGGGTTGTTCAAACGATGGAAGAAGGGGAAGCAGGATAGTGTGGCAGGCACAGATGACGCAGCAGGGGCATCAGCGGGGGATGGCTTGGCTACAGGCGGAGTGGGTAAGGAGGAAAGGGAAAGAGCGAGGGAGGAGCACGTGTGGGAGAGGAGAGAGGAGGGAGTGGATAAGAAGAATTTTGAAGAAATGGAGGTGGAGGACGAGGGCGAGGTGGAGGAGGAGAGGGATGCTTTGGAGGAGGAGAGGGAGGCGCTAGAGGCATTGGCATTGGAGATGTTGGACGGGTGGCAGGACGATGTGGTGGGAGGGGATGCTATCAGCAGGAGCACCACCTCTGCTACCTTCCCCTCGCAGAGCCATCTGCGCTTCACTAGAGAGCTCATCAAAGCGTGCCACTAGGAAGCGGGGGTGGTTGGAGGAGGAGAGGGGCGCTGGACGAGGAGAGGGAGGCAATGGTGTCGTTGGACGGGTGGCAGGACGACGTGGTGGGAGGGGATGCTATCAGCAGAAGCACTACCGGTACTTTCCCCTCACAGAGCCATCTGCGCCTCACCAGAGAGCTTATTAAAGCGTGCCACTAGGAAACAGGCTGCTTCGCAAGCAAGACAGCATTGTTCATTAAGATGACATACGGTATCGAAAAATGGTGTTGCGGGACCCCAAACTGCTGTTGTGCCCCAAACTGCAGTTGTGAAACCCCATACTGCTATTGAGAAAGCTTGCTTTCTGTTTATTGCAAGGCAACGTGCTTCATTTTAATTGGGCAATTACAACATTCTCGTCCAACTTAAACATTACACACAGATTAACTAGGGGCGGGCGGGGGGGCAGCGGAACTGAAAAGTTCCGAAATGAAGACGTGGGTGGAGGCCAAATGGCCTCCAACCCTCGTTACCGTCAGCCCCCGGATAGAAGCGCCCCTGGGGTTATAAAAAAACACTGTTTTTTAGGGGGTGGGCTTATAATTGAGGATTTTTATAAGCGCCGGGGCTTATAAAATGACATACCTATGAAATCTAGTTTTTTTACACCAAAGTGTTCATCTCGTCCTTGCGATTTGAATCGAATCGAGATTGTAGGGGGCTGGAATGTGAATCTCGCGTAAATTGGCAGTGGCTGATTCTCTGCCAACACGCACAGTCAGAATGAGTCAGATTAACCCCATGACAGGTCATTCTGACTGGACGCGAAGGCATTGAGTCGCGCGATGGTGAAGGGATTCGAATTTCTGAATGTTGGGATGCAAAAATTGTGTTTCGTTACAGCGTTTCCAGTAAAAATATTAAATATAATTCAGAGGGTGGCGCTTATAATCCGTAAGCCTTTAGGGGTGCGCTTATAATCGAGGACCGGATATAAGCGCCCTCATCCTTTTATAAGCGCCGGCGCTTATCCGAGGCCTGCGCTTCTATCCGGGGCCTTACGGTATGTACTCGGGAACAAGCATTCGCACTTGCCTTGCTTCACTACAGTCAGCTTCGCTTTCACAATCTTTATTTTTAGAAAGTGTTTCACACTTTCAAAAAAAATCATATTGAGAAAGCTTGCTTTCTGTTTATTGCAAGGCAACGTGCTTCATTTTAATTGGGTCTTCTGAGACATGTGCGTGTGTTGGCAAAGTGTGGATCGCGGAGCCGGCTGATGGAGACGTGTAGTGACATCGATTGTTGGTGTTGGTCGTTGCAGTCTATGTCGACGTGGTTATGCGAGTTGCTCCCTCCTTGTACCGATCGTTTGTTGGTGGAGTGGGGGACCATGGCTTGGAGTGATTGTTGTACATTCATGCGCGGTGGCGAAGATGGTTGTGAAAGACGACCCATGCGTTAGTGATGAGGCTCCATGTGTTTGCGGAGAGGCAAGCATGGGGGAAGGAATGTCGTTTGGCTACGTTAGTAGTTGATGCTTTGGTGGTGGGTATGATGTGTCAAAATTAGAAGAAAGAAAAAGGATTGAACTAGCAAGAATGAGGATACAAATAGCAAACCCTAGAAGGGTTGTACTCGCTATAGAGCACCCCACTACTGGCTAGAACAATAAGATAATATTCTGACACACCCCCATAGCCAAAGTGGGGTGTAATCAGCAGAGCAGGCAAAGCAAAAACAAGCTCAGGGTGGATCACAATGTCACCACACATTCTGAGCACAAGTTCAAGAAGAAATAGTTTAGAGTGTACAATTATAAGCAAAGCTAGTGGTAGTCACAACGGGCAAGTGAGGAGGAGGAGGGAGAGTGAGGGGAGAGGAGACAGGAGGCGACGGCTGAAGCTGCAGACACACGGGCAACAGGAGGCAGACTGGCACAGCGGCTACCGGACAGCGCCCGGACTACAGGAGTAACAGGCCCCGCGGCTCAAATAGCGGCGGACGGGCAACGGACCCACGGGCGGCTGGCACAGCTGGCTACGACTGGGCTACCGGGACAGCGCCCCGGACTACAGGTGCTGCTGACGACAAACTGGCAACCTCCGCTCATCCTCCCACACACAGTCCCACCCCCCTGATACACACCCACTGCTACACCACTAGCTCTACTCCCACGCACCCCCCTTAAACCCTAAACCCAGTCTCCCACACAACCACCCCCCTCAGCGACAGCTGCAGCAGTGGGAGACGAAGGAGGAGGAGGAGAAAGGGAGGAAGGCACACCGACCACCCCCATACCCGCCACCCCACAGCTCGCAAGCGGCCCCCCTCAGGTCGCCACGACGGACGACGGGAATTGGGGGGGAGGGGAGAAAAAGGGGGGGGGGGGGGGGGGGGGGGGGGGACGGGGCCGGGGCCGCGACGAGGGGCGGGGCCGCGACGGTCGGGGCGGGGCCGCGACATAGGGCGGGGCCGCGACGTAGGGCGGGGCCGCGACATAGGGCGGGGCCGCAACGTTGGGCGGGGCCGCGAAGGTAGGGCGGGGCCGAGCCGGGCAGGCGCACGGGCGGCGACGGGCCGGGGCGGGGCCGCGACGTAGAGCGGGGCCGAGCCGGGCAGGCGCACGGGCGGCGACGGGCCGGGGCAGGGCCGCGACGTAGAGCGGGGCCGAGCCGGGCAGGCGCACGGGCGGCGACGGGCCGGGGCAGGGCCGCGACGTAGAGCGGGGCCGAGCCGGGCAGGCGCACGGGCGGCGACGGGCCGGGGCAGGGCCGCGACGTAGAGCGGGGCCGAGCCGGGCAGGCGCACGGGCGGCGACGGGCCGGGGCGGGGCCGCGACGAAGGGGAGAAGCCCGCCGCGCGCCTCGGGGCGCACAGCGGGCAATGAACCGCCGCGCGCCTCGGGGCGCACGGCGGGCAGAGAACCGCCGCGCGCCTCGGGGCGCACGGCGGGAGGAAAAATTAGCAGCGGAAGCAAGGTGGGGACACACCCACAGGATCGATCCAAGGGGATCGACCTGCTCTGATAGCATGTCAAAATTAGAAGAAAGAAAGAGGATTGAACTAGCAAGAATGAGGATACAAATAGCAAACCCTAGAAGGGTTGTACTCGCTATAGAGCACCCCACTACTGGCTAGAACAATAAGATAATATTCTGACATGATGAATGTTGCATTGCCATAGCCTGTCTGGCAGCGTGCATTATGACCGTGTGCGAATGAAGGCACGACGAATAATGGAATAACGAGGATTAAAGTGAACGTTATCGTAATGCATGACTTTTCATATGTGCGATTGGCCCCGGGTACGAAATTTTTGATTGAGAAACTAAGGGGCCCCGAATGATGTGTAGTCGTAGTGTAGCGGCTGATATTGAAATATGATGCCTACAGGGCCGGTACGACATGCATCGTCCATAAGGATAAGGATAATGTCGCATAATAAAACCTCAATCCATGCGTTACTGGCCCATCAGTTGTTCGACTCCTGACCCATCTGTTGTTTGTCTTTTGGCCCATCAGTTGCTTGTCTCTTGGCCCATTGGTTGCTCGTCGCGTGGCCCATAAGGTGCTCGTCTCGTGGCCCACCAGTTGCTCGTCTCATGACCCGTCGGCTGCGCATCTCGTGGCCCATCGGCTGCTCATCTCGTGGCCCATCATTTGCTTGTCCATTAATCCATCAATTGCTCGTCTCTCGGTCCATCGATTGCGCGTCTCGTGGCCTATCGGTTGCTCATCCTTTGGCCCATCTGTTGCTCGTCTCTTGGTTGCTCGTCCCTTCGCCCGTCGAGTGCTCGTTGCTTGGCCCGTGGTTCCTCATCTCATGGCCTGTCGGTTGCTCATCTTTTGGCCGGTCGGTTGCTCATCCCTTAGGTCGGTTGCTCATTGCTTGGCCCGTCGGTTGCTCATCCCTTAGGTCGGTTGCTCATTGCTTGGCCCGTTGGTTGGTCCTCGCTTGGCCGCCAGTTGCTCATCGCTTGGCCCATCGGCTGCTCATTTCTTGGCCCATCGGTTGCTCATCTCTTAGCCTGTCAGTTGCTCATCTCCTAGCCCACCAGTTGCTAATTTATTTGCCCTTCGGTCGCTCCTCTTTTAACCTATCAGTTGCTCCTCTCTTAGCCAATCGATTGCTCATCGTTTGGCCCGTCGGTTGCTCGTTTCTTGGCTCGTCAATTGTTCATCTCTTGGCCGGTTTATTGTTCGTCCCTTGGCCCATCAATTGCTCACCGCTTGGCCTGTCGGTTGCTCATCTCTTGGCTCGTCAGTTATTCATCTCTTGGCCGGGCTATTGTTCGTCCCTTGGCCTATCGGTTGCTCGTCGCTTGGCCCGTCCGTTGCTCATCGCTTGGCCGATCGGTTGCTCATCTCTTGGCCCATCGGTTGCTCATCTCTAACTGATGCCGTATTATGACGACCAACAAGGAAAAACAACAAGATTTGCATTGGCTACCCTGCCACACCAAATACTGTAGCTCCATTCAACACAAGTATTGTTGACGCGCGAACAATTACCGATATTGGAATGCAAGGTACATTGAAATTCGGTAGTTGTTTTACTTTCCCATATGTGTATCTTGTTCGGTGTGACAAAACAAGATAGTGGAACGAATAATGGGTGAAATACACTCCCTCCTCCCCCCTCGTTTGGGAATGTCCAGCATGGGGGAGTGATAGAACCGGATCCAATACCGTAACCGTCATTGCTACCAAGAGTTTCACTATACCAATCTTACCAAGCTGAATCACAGTACGTGTCTCCAACATCCTGTTGAGGCAAGATTTTTTTTTTCTCGCTTTATCCATATAAACACAATTGCCAATGACACATACATGTCAACAAACACATCACATAATTGGGGTTTTAAGCATCTCAGCTTTGGTCTGCACATACCCCCCTCTCTAAAGAAAAGGTGGCTCTCTGGCCCGCGTACCTTCGTAGGTACCTACACGACGCTCGTTCCCCTTCCCCCCCTGGGGGCGGCTATTATGCCAACTCGAGGACCCTCGGTCCCCTTCCCCCCCTGGGGGGCGGCTCTCAGGCCAACTCGGGGACCCTCGGTCCCCGTTCCCCCCTGGGGGGGCGGCTCTCAGGCCAACTCGGGGACCCTCGGTCCCCTTCCCCCCTTGGGGGCCGGCTCTCAGGCCAACTCGGGGACCCTCGGTCCCCTTCCCCCCCTGGGGGGCGGCTCTCAGGCCAACTCGGGGACCCTCGGTCCCCTTCCCCCCCTGGGGGGCGGCTCTCAGGCCAACTCGGGGACCCTCGGTCCCTTTTCCCCCCCCTGGGGGCGGCTCTCGGTCCCCTCGTTTCGATGTGCGTGCAGTTGATCCCGTCGTCATTGCAAATTGTCCGCGCGATGAGAAGAGTCCGACCTTAATCAACGGCTTTTGATCTTGTGCCCGTTTTGCTGCCATGAGGAAGTATCGAGATTGATAGGCAAGGAAAGAAGAAAATAAAATCGGAAGAATACCATAGAAGAAAATGAAAAAGAACTTGCAACAAATGATATGCAGCTAAACAATTGGTAAGGTGACGTGGGGTGCTGCACTGGTGCTTAACGCCCAGTAAAAAAACGCCTTAGGCGCGGCAGTAGCAGTTTCTTGACTGCCGCGCCACAGGCCATTTCGTCCGTGGCGATTTCGCCACAGACGCGCGCCACTGGCGCAAGTGGCGATTTCGCCACACACGCGCACCAGTGGCGATTTCGGCACACACGCGCGCCAGTGGCGCAAGTGTCGATTTCGCCACACACACGCGCCACTGGCGCAATTGGCGATTTCGTCAAAGCTCACGCCACTGGCGCACGTGGCAATTTCGTCACTGATGCGCCAGTGGTCGTTGCTTCATGCGCAGCTCTTTCTCGATTGCGCGCACGCCAAGTGCATCACAGGCGCGGTGCTGTACCCTCCGTAGTTATTATCGCGCGTAGCGGCTAGTAGTTACGTTGCTGCTGCAGCACTTGTCCTAGCGTTGACTCCGTACTAAAATTGAGTGAGAATTAGGAATGAGTGGGAGAACAGAGGTGGTTGGACGAGAATGAAGCGGAACTGAAAAGTTCCGAAATGAAGACGTGGGTGGAGGTCAAATGGCCTCCAACCCTCGTTATGTACTCGGGAACAAGCATTCGCACTTGCCTTGCTTCACTACAGTCAGCTTCGCTTTCACAAACTTTATTTTTAGAAAGTGTTTCACACTTTCAAAAAAAAATCATGTTGTGAAACCCCAAACTGCTGTTGTGAAACCCCTCACCAGAGAACTTGCCAAACACTGGAAGACAGCAGGTTTGATGCATTTCATTTCAAGGGCCTCTTGTGGCACCTCAAACGGTCTAGGTGATGACAGTGTTCTGTTTCCTCCAAGTACAAATAAGGTAGCTAGACCTGTTGCTGCTGTGGGTAGGGAACATGATGCTAGAATGCCACATCATTGAACAATGTATGCCTTCCATCCTTACAATGCCACAGAACAGTACCGGTACAATTTGCAAACCTAAACAAAGTTGGATGCGCAATCCTAGTGTTTCACCAGACAGCCGAAAATAGCTCAGCGGAATCAGGTCGTCGCCCGAGGGAGCTCGTTGCCCGCGGGCAAAAAAAATAAAACCCATTCGGGCATGCATCCGGTCAGGGAGGCATCAACCCTAAACACGGGGAGGCATGGATTTAGGGTTGATGCCTCCCTCGGATGGCATGCCATCCGATAGGGTTTTAGTTTTTCTCTGCCCGGGGCAGCAGGTCGTCAGGTCTTCACAGGTCGTCAAGCTTGACGACCCAATTCCGCTGAGATCTTCAGTGCCTCCATGATCACGATTCACTACAAGCTACTACTGCACCGGTGCCACCTCAGCAAGCCAGCTGGCGAGCTCTGACGCCGCCTCGCGCGTGAAAGTGAGACGGGAATCCCGAGGGAGGGCAGGGAGGGCAGAGGTAGCTAGGGCTGCATCTAGGGGAGCAGCAGAGGCGGCTGCTGCTGCTTCACCATCATTTGCAGCAGCTGTGGCTGCTGCAGTGTGGGTGAGGAAGGAGCGAGAGAGCGAGTCGAGCATGCGAGCATACACCATGCTGCCATAGGGAAGGGGGTAAAGCGGGGAAGTGTGGGGTGGAAAGGTAAAAATGAGAGCAGGCTGGGTAGAGCAGGTAAGCATACGACGTTTATAGCAACTGACATCAAACACATGTGAGGGAGAGAGAATTCAGAGGAGGAACGGAATGGGAGAAACTGCTTGGGGCTTTTGAGGCACCTCAAAGAACGGGAGAAACTGCTTGGGGCTTTTGAGGCGCCTCAAAGAACAGGAGAAACTGCTTGGGGCTTTTGAGGCGCCTCAAAGAACGGGAGGCCCCAATTTCTGCCAGTTCTTGCAAGTTTCGTGCGCGATGCGGTGAAGACTTTCGAGTATGCTTCATCAAACAAGAAAACAACAGCCACTTTCTAAAACTCGCACATGCACATTCACATGCACATGCACATGCACATGCACCTGCACATGCACCTGCACAATGCACACACACATGCACATGCACATGCACATACACATGCACATGCACATACACATGCACATGCACCTGCACATGCACACACACATGCACATGCACATGCACCTGCACATGCACCTGCACATGCATGGTAAAGCACTCACCGCAGGCGAGCGGCATCGTGGGGGAAGGTGCGGAGAGACTGAGCCGTGCGCTGGGAGAACTCCGACAGTGCCTCCGCCCCGTCAGCCACTGACACCTGGCGGACGGCGATTGGTTAGAAGGCCACACACGAAACAGGGAGGCACAGAGCAATTCTGCTTCGATTTCAACGCAAACAGAAGCTGCTCGGTAGCAACGACGTTTATAGCAACTGACATCAAACACAACATGTGCTTCCCTGCTGAAGTTGGCCGAACCAAGATAAGGGCGCGTGCCTTTTGGTGTAGATTGTCAAAGTTCGAGCCTAATACCGCTCTGTACCGTGGCGACACGTCTCTCAACTGTATCCTACCGTGTACAACCTTTCTAGAAGTTCGAACTTTGGCAAAAGTTCGACCTCAAGGACACGCGCGCCCTAACATAACAAAACACATATCATTCCCCCCCTCCTCCTTTCCGCCCCTTTCCTTTCTCCTCCATCTACTCATCCACTCACCGTTAGCTCTTCGGTCGGGAGAATCGCTTGTCCTTCCAGGGCGGCAGAAAGGTGCATGTAGTCCAAAAGCAGCCGCCCGCCCTCTTTCCAACCGTAAATGGCCTCCCCATGCGTCTCCAGCCCCTCCATCAGCTGCTGCACCTCCGCCCACCGCTCTGCGGGGTACAGGCACGAAAATTATGCAGCAGAAGGGAAAAGAGAATAGTTGAGAGCGGGGGCACCTGCTAAGATGTAAGCAGCAGCGAGGTGGTTCACATGCAGAGCCGAGGCGCAGAGTGCTGCCCCACCCCACCTACTCGTGGTGGCAGTGCAGCAGCAGTGCCCCCATGGCCCCCACCAGCAGCAGTCCAACGAGTTTTGAGTCGACTCAAAACTCGAGTGCTGCCCCACCTACTCGTGGTGGCAGTGCAGCAGTGCCCCCATGGCCCCCCCCATGCCACCCATCATGCCCCCCATCAGCAGCAGTCCAACGGAGCATCCATCACCCCCTCAGCATGCAGCACCTTGCGCATCCCAACGACGCACCAGCTAGAGTGCAACAACAACAGGCCATGAACACCAAACATCGCGCCTGATGAGGCCCAGTCAGTCAGGAAGCAACAGCCCCTGAAAACACCATAGCGCACCTGAGAGAATCCACGAGGCAGCAAGGTGGGACATAAAGAGGTGGTGGGCGCGGTCCCACTGGTGGTGGTGTTTCTGAGGCACCTCAAAAGCCCCAATCAGCATGCAACAGCCCATGAATCACCAAGACGCACCTGAGAGAATCCACGCAGCAGCGAGGTGGGACATAAAGAGGCGGTGGGCACGGTCCCACTGGAAGCTTCCCAACAGGCACTGCAGCTCGTCGTTGCGCCGGCCCTCGTAGCGGTGGTGCACCGCCTGGTGTGGTGGTGGGGCGGGGGGCAAGAAAGGGGGAAATGGGGGAGGGGGGAGACGAAAGGTGAGGGGAGTGCGACTTGACAACCCAGCAGGCACTGCAGCTCGTCGTTGCGCCGCCCCTTTTAGCGGTGGTGCACCGCCTGGTGTGGGGAGAAGGGGGAGGGCAGAGCAGAGGCAGGACAGGGGAGGTGAGGAGGTTGCTGCTTGCGGACTCTGTAGCGATGGTGCCTCACTCTCTCTCTCTCTCACAAACTCACTCACCCACTCACAAACTCACTCACCCACTCACAAACTCACTCACCCGCTCACAAACTCACTCACCCACTCACAAACTCACTCACCCACTCACAAACTCACTCACCCACTCACAAACTCACTCACCCACTCACAAACTCACTCACCCACTCACAAACTCACTCACCCACTCACAAACTCACTCACCCACTCACAAACTCACTGCCTCTCTCACAAACTCACTGCCTCTCTCTCTCTCTCCCACCCACCCACCTGAGCAGCACGCATAAAAAAAACGCGGCACTGGGAGCTCTCCTTAAATGAAGCTGCGCTGCTCCTCACTGGCCGCCCACACCGGGCACGACACCGCCAGCACCTCCCTGCCTCCCTCCTTCCTTTACCTTGTGGGCTAATCGAACACCCACCAGAGCAGCACACATCCAAGAACGCGGCACCAACAGCTGGCCCTCGATAAAGCTCTGCTGCTCCTCACTCGCCGCCCACACCGGGCACGACACCGCCAGCACCTCCCTGAACGCGCGCTCCAGGGCCCACCGCGGAAGCTTCCGGGAAGGCGGGACGTGCTGCAGGCAGTAGAGCGCCCAGTGGGGCTGGTTGGCTGCTAGCAGCTGCGCCACGTAGTCCATGTGCACAGCTGGCAGCACCTCATTGGCCTGCAGCGCTCCTATGGCCTGTTGTGGTTGGAGGAGGAGAAGTGGTTCGGACGCAAGGGTTTAAGGTTTTGTATTCAAGGTGCATTCAAAGTTAAGGGTAATGAGTGGCAGGTGGGAAGAGGAGGGAGGTCAGCACTCGGTGAACCTGTGATGTGTTGTGAGGCACAGTGAACCAGACTGGGCGCATTAGTCGTTACCTGCAGCACACTCTGAAGATGCCACGTCAGATGGCAGTCCAGCGCATCACGGGTCCATGATCGCCACCTCAGCATCGCTGCCACATCAACCGCCACGTCATCACCATCACCAGCATCACCAGTCTCCACCTTCCCTTTCCCCATCTCCTCTTTCAAGTGCACAACCAACAACCCATACAGCACATCTTCCTCTCCTCCCTTCTCCACCTCTTCCTCTCCCTCTCCCTTCCCCTTCACCTTCCCCTTCCCCTCGCCTCCCCCCATCCCTCCCCTAATCCGCTCCCACTCCGCCCTCTCCCCCCCCTCCACCCCAATCGTCTCCTCATACCACGGAATCGCCCTCGGCACCCTCCCAACCCTCACTCTCTTCCTAAACTCCCCAATCACCGAGCCTAGAGGTTCGGCCGGGGGCATGCCGAACCACATGAGCAGCCCGAGGTGCCTCTTCCAGTCCAGGGGCCGACCCTCCAGCGCCCCAGTCACATCCCCAGCCACTAGCCGCAGCAGCCTTAGCCTCTCCACACTCACCAACGCCCCTTCCGCCAACTCCTGCAACGAAACCGCCCCTTCCCCCAAACCCCCATCCCTATCTCCCTTCCCGCCGGCCAGCCTCTCCCAGAGCGCCAGCTGGCGGGCGGCATCGGCGCGCGTGGCAGGGGGGGCGGAGTGGGCGAGGGAGAGCAGGGCGGCAAGACGTACGTCCCCTGTGAGAGCAGCTGCACCCACTGCCGTCTCCACCTGCATTCCTGTGAGCGCGGTAAAGGCCACTCGCAGAGGCAGCGCAGCAGCGGCAGCTTCAGCAGGATTAGTGGTAGTAGTAGCAGCGCTGGTGGTGGCTGTGTTGCTCGTGAAGGTGCTGGTGCTGGTGGCAGTGAGAGGGTTGGGTGCGGTGCTAGGGTTTGCAGCGGTGGCAGCGAGGAAGTTGAGTTCATGCACGATTGCGGGTGCCACCACGGCCTGCAACCATGCGCTGAACTCTGCTCTGCGGAACATTTCCATTGTCTCCTCATCGTACTCCTCCTGCTCCTCCTCCCCTGCCTCCTCCTCATCCTCATCACCCCTCTCTTCATCCTCCACCTCCTCCTCTTCCTCGGTCATTCCTCCCTCCTCCTCCTCCTGCTCATTCCTCTTCTCTTCCTCCTCCGCGGTTTCTGGCCCCCCAATCCACTGTGGCTGTTTATTTGCACCAGTTGCACCAGCAGCGGCACCTCTTTGAGTCTCCTCCTCCTCCTCTTCCCCATCATCATCTGCAAACAGACGCCTGTTCAGGGCTGCTTCCTCCCGCACTCCTTTCCCCCTTTCCCCTTGCTCCATCCCACTCCTCTGCCCACCCCCACTCATCCCCTCCATCTCCCCATACCCATCCTCCACCTCCCCATCCCTCTCCTCCTCCATCGACCCATCACCTGACTTCCCACCTGAACCATCACCTGCCTTTTCACCAGCATCTCCCTCAACCCCTCCACCCATCTCCACCCCTCCAGACCCCTGCATGACGTCACTGCGCCTCTTGCCCTGCCAATCAGAGAACAGCACGTCCACAAGCTGCCAAACCGCCTGCTCGTGCTGCAGCTGCCGCTCAGATACACCCACCCCAGATACAACCCGCCCCTGCCCAGCCTTCGCCCGGGCAGCAACAAGGGCGTCAGCAGCCGCTACAGTCAGGGAGCTGTAGCGGCGACACAGAGAGGCCAGACTGCCACCCTGCCGACTGCACACCAGCCGTCGCCCTACCCACTCCCTCCCCTCCTCTCTCCTCCCCTCTCTCCCATTCTTCTCCCCCCCCTCCATCTCCTCATCTTCACGGCTCTTCTCCCCCTCCTCTTCTTCTTCCTCCTCACTCTGCAACACCTCTCCATCACCCTCCTCCCCACCTGCGCCCCACCCTCCCTCTCCCCCTCTCCTACGCCCCCCCACCACCCTACTCGACTGGAAGTGCAGCAGCAGCGGCTCAATCAGCAGCAGCTGCTGCAGCCGCTCCCGTTCCGCTGCACCCCTCTCTGCTTCTGCTTCTGACAACTCGGCGTCCCTCCCTGCCCCCCCTGGACTGAGGGACTGAAGGGGACTGGAAAGTAGAGGAGAGACGAAAGAAGCAGGAGGAGGGGGAAGGGAGGACCAGGGGGAAAAGGCCACCTGAGTGACAGTGATCTTGGACGAGATGGGACTCACATATGTCACATCTGCTGCAGCGCGGTTACCAGCAGCAAAGGCTCCAGCAGGCAGCACCCTGCCTGGAGCCACCAGCACTCCGCCCGGCCCCCAGCCGACGCGAAAGGAGCGGCCGAGGAACAGCCCTGCATCCACTGCCACGCCGCTGCTCCCCTCCCCTGGCACCGTCGCCACCACCGCCACTGCCGCTACTGCCTGCGCCACCGCTGCTGCTCCCGCCACTGTCCCTGCTGCTCCCCCTGCTGTGGTTCCTGCTCCTTTTCCAGGCAACGCGTTTGGGATGGTCCATTCGAATCCTGCTGCGGCAACAGCACCAGGGTGCACATGCGCATGCACTCGGCCTTGCAGCCCTGAGACAAGCACAGCACTCGCCCCTCCTGCTCCTGCTCCTCCTGCTCCTGCTGCTCCAACGCCTGGTGCACCTGCCTCGAACTCTGGGAAAACCCGGACGCCTCTCCTGCTGCCTGCTAGGAAGGAGGCCGGCTTCTGTGCTACCCGCCCGCCTGCCCTCCTGTTACCCCTAAATCCAGCTGCCCATGGGTTGGACCAAGGATCAGCCGCCTTTCTAGCCATACCAACACCACTGGCAGCACCACCAGTAGCAGCAGCGGCAGCTGCGGCAGCAGCACTGGCGGCAGTGGCAGCGGCAGCGGCCGCTCCTAGCATGCCGAACCTAGGAGCCTTCCCTGGACCCCAGCCCTGCCAGTCGGAATCCATTGCTTCCGCCCCCAACCCTCCTTGCTTTCTCTTGGCACTGGTAAAACCCATCCCGCTCCCAAACCCACCATTGTACCCCTCGCCGTCCCCATCATTATCTTCCTCAGTGGCACTGCGGCCGAACATGACCTGGCGCATCTGCTGCAGCCTGATTGGGTCGATCCCCAGCTGAGCTGGCAGCGCCCGGTCCAGTGACACGCCGCCAGGTGGCACTGACACCCTCCCACGACCACCACCATCACCATTACCATCATCAGCAGCATCACCATCAGCATCACCATCGCCACTCAGACCCTCGTCAGTCTCATACTCCTCCTCTCCCAACTCCCCATCATCCTCTCTCCCATCCTCCTCGCCTTCTCCTCTCCCCCTTCCCCTATCCTCCTCCTCCTCATCATCCTCATCTGAGTCCTCCAGGCCGTACCGGCTGAAGTGTTGCACCTTGAAGCGCCACTCGCCCTTGGCGGCGTTGAAAGAGAGGAACTCCGCGTCCTGCTCTGCTGTCTTGCGCCTCAGCTTGCGCTCAAACCGCTCCACCTCCGGCCCCTCCGTCACCTGCTACCACCATACCATCAGATGAGAGTTCAGAAAGCAACAAGCATTTGAGGCGCCTCAAAACTCGAAACGTAGAACCCCGCCGCCCACAGCTTGCATGCACTCAAATCGCAAACTCGACAAATGAAAACATTGAACAGACAAAAAAAAAAAAGAACGGGAAAGGAATGGGCATCAAACACGGGCACGCACCGCCTTGCCGGTCTTCTTATCGACGCACACCACCTGCAGCAGCGTCACCTCCGCAGGCTTATTCAGCTCCTCCCCCACCGGCGGCTTGCTCTCTTCATCCATATACACCAGAATCTCGCACTTGTGAAACTGCACTATCCCCTCCACATCCAGCCCCCTCACGTCCGTCTCCCCCAGAAACCGCACGCTCCCAAACCCCTTCCGCCCCACCACGAAGTCCCGCACGCGCGCCAGCGACCCTGGGAGCGAGCGCTCCAGGGCAGCTAGAGCAGACAGCGACGGCTCGGTGAAATAATCCGCGGATTTTAATCGCGGCAGCTGGGATTCGATCCCGGGACCTTTCGCACCGGTGCCGGTGGGGCGAGAGGGGGAGGGCGGAGAGAAGGAGCCGTTCCAGGCGGGGGAGAGAGTGGGGGACGGCATGGCGGACCCAAACCCTCCGCCTGTGGCGCCAGCGCGGGCAGCAGAGGGGCTCCTGGGGGACTGCGAGCCCCCATTGCCGTTCAGCTCGGAGGAATCGTAGGGAGGAGCGGAAGGAGCATACAAGGCATCCCTGGGAGAGACCCCTGAAGGAGGCGACTGGTAGTCTGATCCCTGAGGAGACCCTGACTTGCCCGGCGTCCCTCCAGCAGCAGCAGCAGGGCTCTTTCCATTCGGGCCCGCGTCAGCGCCACCAGCAGCACCAGCAGCAGCGGTGTCAGCAGCAGGGGCGACAGGGTGGCGGATGAAGAGGGCGCGGGGGTTGTCACGGGGGACAAAGAGGGCGTCGGCGCGCGGCACTGCAGGGGAGATGTCGTCGTGGTCGGAGGGAGAGGAGAAGAAGAATGGCACGCGGGCAGTGTCGCGGCCGGGGTGGAAGTGGCGCGTGGCGGGGTGGTGCATGCGCGCACGGGTGCGCGGGGTGATGCGGCGCGGCGTGAGGATGGAGGAGACGCGCGTGCCTGAAGCATAGCGGTCCGAGGCCTGTTGTTCGGGGAGAAAGGGAGAAGGGGGAAAGGAGAGGGAATAAAAGGGGAGTTCTTTTATGAGTCAGAAGAAGTTGATTCAGGAGTCTACTTCATGCAGTCAGGCGTGCAACGTAGTGACTGTCCAAGGGCCCAAGTGCTTCAACACTTGAACAAAGGCGCGGATGCTTGTTTCTCAGAAATGACTTCTGAGTCGACTCAAAAGTCACCTCGTTGCGATGCGACGTAGTGACTGTCACACAAAGGCGTGGATGCTCAAAGTGTTTCTCAAAGTCGAGACGATTTTTGAGTCGACTAAAAAATCGTCTCAACTCACAAAGGCGTGGATGCTCAAAGTGTTTCTCAAAAGTTCTGATACTCACAGGCATGCTTGAAATGCCAAGCTCTGTGCTGGTTCTAACCCCTCCTGCAGCAGCAAGGCCGAAGTTGGGCATGGCAGGGAGCACACCAAAGGGCGACTGGAGCAGCCCCGACTGCTGCAGGTGTTCCAAGTGCTTGTGCTGTGTACTGACAGGCTTCAATGAGGGGTGGGGTTGGTTGGTATACTCACAGGCATGCTGGAAATGCCAAGCTCCGTGCTGGCTCTGACTCCCCCGGCAGAACCACCAAGGCCGAAGTTGGGCATGGCAGGCAGCACACCGAAGGGCGACTGGAGCAGCCCCGACTGCTGCAGCTGCTGCAGTAGCTGCTGCTGCTGTTGCTGCTGAAGCTGCATTTGTTGCTGCTGTTGCTGCTGCTGCGACTGACCGAACAGGCCTCCCGTGGCGGTCGCTCCAAGGCTGGCGTGGGACGGGAAGGGTGGTTGAAAGGGGAGCAGAGGACAATAATGAGTCGCCTTAAAAGGGGGGTCCGGAATGCATCTGCTGCTGCGACTGACCGAACAGGCCTCCCGTGGCGGTCGCTCCGAGGCTGGCGTGGGGACGCAGGGGCAATTGGATGGGGAGCAAAGGGCAGGAGTTAGTTAGTCGAATCGTATGGACTGCAAGTGCTGCTGTACCAGAGGTCGTTTTTGAGGCGCCTCAAAAACGACCTGAAGGCAGGAGCTAGTCGAATCGTATGGACTGCAAGTGCTGCTGTACCAGACTGGAGCGGGGAGAGAGGGAGTTTCACAAGGGTGCTGGGCGGGAGGGAGGTAGAAGGGACGGATCCTGGAAAAGCGAGACGCAAGCGAACAAAGAGCCAGGAGAGACACACAAAGGAAAAAAAGCGGAGAAAAGCGAGGGGGGAGAGGGGAATGGGGGGAAGAAGCGGTGCCGAAGGGATGAGAAGGGGTGAGAAGGAGTTGGAAGGGTGCTAGGAGAAGGCATGGGGGCGGAAAGGGTGCGGGGAGGGGCGAGGAAAAGGGGACTTACGAGGCGCCGAATGGAGAGGAGCCCAGCTGAGGAGTGGAGCCGAAGAGCCCACCACCGACTGCATGGGAGAGCAAGGAGGGACGGGGCGGGAGATGATAAGAAATGTATTGCCTTACAGGGAATACGAAAAGGGTGTTACAGGTGAAAGCTGAGGGAAAGTTGGTGGTACGAGACAGGAGTGCAAGAAGGGAGGATATGAGCGTGAAAAGGTGGGATGCCATGGGCGTGTGAGTGACTGGAAGACGACTTTTGAGGCGCCTCAAAAGTTGGTGGTACAAGACAGGAGTGCAAGAAGGGAGGATATGAGCGCGAAAAGGTGGGATGCCATGGGCGTGTGAGTGACTGGAAGACGACTTTTGAGGCGCCTCAAAAGTTGGTGGTACAAGACAGGAGTGCAAAAGGGAGGATATGAGCGTGAAAAGGTGGGATGCCATGGGCGTGTGAGTGACTGGAAGACGACTTTTGAGGCGCCTCAAAAGTTGGTGGTACAAGACAGGAGTGCAAGAAGGGAGGATATGAGCGCGAAAAGGTGGGATGCCATGGGCGTGTGAGTGACAGGAAGACGACTTTTGAGGCGCCTCAAAAGTTGGTGGTACAAGACAGGAGTGCAAGAAGGGAGGATATGAGCGTGAAAAGGTGGGATGCCATGGGCGTGTGAGTGACAGGAAGACGACTTTTGAGGCGCCTCAAAAGTTGGTGGTACAAGACAGGAGTGCAAGAAGGGAGGATATGAGCGTGAAAAGGTGGGATGCCATGGGCGTGTGAGTGACTGGAAGACGACTTTTGAGGCGCCTCAAAAGTTGGTGGTACAAGACAGGAGTGCAAGAAGGGAGGATATGAGCGTGAAAAGGTGGGATGCCATGGGCGTGTGAGTGACTGGAAGACGACTTTTGAGGCGCCTCAAAAGTTGGTGGTACAAGACAGGAGTGCAAGAAGGGAGGATATGAGCGTGAAAAGGTGGGATGCCATGGGCGTGTGAGAGACAGGAAGACGACTTTTGAGGCGCCTCAAAAGTTGGTGGTACAAGACAGGAGTGCAAGAAGGGAGGATATGAGCGCGAAAAGGTGGGATGCCATGGGCGTGTGAGTGACTGGAAGACGACTTTTGAGGCGCCTCAAAAGTTGGTGGTACAAGACAGGAGTGCAAGAAGGGAGGATATGAGCGTGAAAAGGTGGGATGCCATGGGCGTGTGAGTGACTGGAAGACGACTTTTGAGGCGCCTCAAAAGTTGGTGGTACAAGACAGGAGTGCAAGAAGGGAGGATATGAGCGTGAAAAGGTGGGATGCCATGGGCGTGTGAGTGACTGGAAGACGACTTTTGAGGCGCCTCAAAAGTTGGTGGTACAAGACAGGAGTGCAAGAAGGGAGGATATGAGCGTGAAAAGGTGGGATGCCATGGGCGTGTGAGTGACTGGAAGACGACTTTTGAGGCGCCTCAAAAGTTGGTGGTACGAGACAGGAGTGCAAGAAGGGAGGATATGAGCGTGAAAAGGTGGGATGCCATGGGCGTGTGAGTGACTGGAAGACGACTTTTGAGGCGCCTCAAAAGTTGGTGGTACAAGACAGGAGTGCAAGAAGGGAGGATATGAGCGTGAAAAGGTGGGATGCCATGGGCGTGTGAGAGACAGGAAGACGACTTTTGAGGCGCCTCAAAAGTTGGTGGTACGAGACAGGAGTGCAAGAAGGGAGGATATGAGCGTGAAAAGGTGGGATGCCATGGGCGTGTGAGTGACAGGAAGACGACTTTTGAGGCGCCTCAAAAGTTGGTGGTACAAGACAGGAGTGCAAGAAGGGAGGATATGAGCGTGAAAAGGTGGGATGCCATGGGCGTGTGAGTGACAGGAAGACGACTTTTGAGGCGCCTCAAAAGTTGGTGGTACAAGACAGGAGTGCAAGAAGGGAGGATATGAGCGTGAAAAGGTGGGATGCCATGGGCGTGTGAGTGACTGGAAGACGACTTTTGAGGCGCCTCAAAAGTTGGTGGTACAAGACAGGAGTGCAAGAAGGGAGGATATGAGCGTGAAAAGGTGGGATGCCATGGGCGTGTGAGTGACAGGAAGACGACTTTTGAGGCGCCTCAAAAGTTGGTGGTACAAGACAGGAGTGCAAGAAGGGAGGATATGAGCGTGAAAAGGTGGGATGCCATGGGCGTGTGAGTGACAGGAAGACGACTTTTGAGGCGCCTCAAAAGTTGGTGGTACAAGACAGGAGTGCAAGAAGGGAGGATATGAGCGTGAAAAGGTGGGATGCCATGGGCGTGTGAGTGACTGGAAGACGACTTTTGAGGCGCCTCAAAAGTTGGTGGTACAAGACAGGAGTGCAAGAAGGGAGGATATGAGCGTGAAAAGGTGGGATGCCATGGGCGTGTGAGTGACTGGAAGACGACTTTTGAGGCGCCTCAAAAGTTGGTGGTACAAGACAGGAGTGCAAGAAGGGAGGATATGAGCGTGAAAAGGTGGGATGCCATGGGCGTGTGAGAGACAGGAAGACGACTTTTGAGGCGCCTCAAAAGTTGGTGGTACAAGACAGGAGTGCAAGAAGGGAGGATATGAGCGCGAAAAGGTGGGATGCCATGGGCGTGTGAGTGACTGGAAGACGACTTTTGAGGCGCCTCAAAAGTTGGTGGTACAAGACAGGAGTGCAAGAAGGGAGGATATGAGCGTGAAAAGGTGGGATGCCATGGGCGTGTGAGTGACTGGAAGACGACTTTTGAGGCGCCTCAAAAGTTGGTGGTACAAGACAGGAGTGCAAGAAGGGAGGATATGAGCGTGAAAAGGTGGGATGCCATGGGCGTGTGAGTGACTGGAAGACGACTTTTGAGGCGCCTCAAAAGTTGGTGGTACAAGACAGGAGTGCAAGAAGGGAGGATATGAGCGTGAAAAGGTGGGATGCCATGGGCGTGTGAGTGACTGGAAGAAAGATAAAACTAGAAGCGGCTGGAGGCGGCAGTACAGAGCAACCACTCACACAGGAATTGAGATGAGAACTATCGAAATATGCCTACAACACGAATGGTGACACAAGAGGTAGCAGCAGCAGCAGCAGCAGCAGCAGCAGCAGCAGCAGCAGCAGCAGCAGCCTAGTACTCTTGAACCTGGAGGTAGAGAGATTGCAGAGAGAGACTCACAGGATGGCTGCGATGCTCCAAAGCCAGGCGTGGTCGCCGATGCTCCCAGCCCTCCAAACGAGGGGAACGCCTGCACGGTGAAGCACGTAGGAGGGGAGATAATTGCCAGGACCAATGGGGAATGAGGAGGCCAGGGACAGGGGAAAGGCTTGCGTGTGAGAAATAAAGAAATGGCAGAGGTGATATCATGGCCATGCAATGACCGAGGGGAAACGAGATGACCAGAGAGAAACAAGGATTTGTGCCCATTTTCTCTGCGTGCGACGGTGTATGTGGGTGTGCGAGAGTGCAGCGCAGCGAGCATGCACGTCTGAGAGTGAAGGGAGAGAAGTGAAGCAAGGAGACCTGACACTACGAGAGAGGCACGTAGAGGACTGAGTGAGTCCAGCCGGCTTGGTCTTTGAGGCACCTCAAAAACCGCGTGAGCTGAGACGATTTTTGAGGCGCCTCAAGAAGTGAAGCGAGAAAACCAGAAACAAAGAGACACACACACGTACCGAGGACTGAGTGAGTCCAGCCGGCTTGGTCTGGAACGCTCCTCCAAACCCAAACGCCGAACCAGTGGATGCGCCAAACAACCCCGCCCCAGTCGTGCCGCCCGCTCCTGCCGCCCCTCCAAACAGGCTCCCCCCTGCCGCACCAAACCCTGGCGCCGAACCAGCAGCTCCGGCCGTGCCAAACCCGAACCCAAGCCCAGTCGAGCCCGCAGCAGGCGTGGAACTCCCAAACAGCCCTCCTCCCGTTGCTGCTCCGGTCCCAAAGAGTGACGGCGTGGCACCAAAAGCCGGAGTAGCAGCAGCAGCACCAGGAGTCCCAAACGCGCTGGCACCAAAGGCAGGAGAAGAGGCACCGAAGAGTGAAGCTCCAGGCTGTCCCGCCGCGCCTGCTTGCCCCAAAGGCGAGGTCCCTCCGAAAAGAGACGCGCCGGTGGACGCGCCAAAGGGGGAGGCGGTGGCAGCAGCAGGCGAGCCGAAGAGCGACGGGGTTGATGCTGCTGCTCCGAACGGGCTGCTCGCAGTGGCGCCAAAAAGAGACCCTCCTGTGGCTCCGAAGGCCGGGGAGGATGCAGCGCCGAAGGCCGGGGTTGACGAGCCGAAGAGGGACGGGGAAGTTGACGCGCCGAACGCGGGCGTGGCGCCAGGCGCGGCCGCACCAAACGCCGGAGCCGCCGAGCCGAACAGGCTCGGAGTGGACGCCTGGCCAAACGGGTTCGCAGCTGTGGAGCCAAACGCCGGGGCAGCAGCAGCGGCACCAAACAGAGACGCCGCTGCTGCTGCTGGCTGGCCGAATAGCCCTCCGCCTGCCTGTGCTGGCGCCGGCCCGCCCTTGTCTCCCCGCTGGTAATCCTCCCAGCGAAGCTCCTCTGGGCTCTTGTTTTTGTAGGCAGGCATGGCTGATATGGAGATGAATTTGCCAAGCTGGCCCGCTGTGCCGGTTTCTGTGTCGTTGGTGGGCGTGTAGGCGGGGTTTCTGCTGCCTGTGCCTGCAGCTGCTGCTGCTCCGAAGGGTGTGGCCCCGAACGTGGTTGCTCCGAACGCAGGCGCTGATGCTGCGAAAGGGGGGGAAGGGAGAGAGGGGAGGGGAGAGAAAGGGAGTGAGTGGGAGGGAATGGGAGGAGAATGAGAATGAGGTGTAGGGGCGGAACAGGGAAAACGACAAGGGAAAGGAGGGCAGACACGAGACGAAGGAACAGGAACAGAAACGAGGACACGGAGGGTTGAAAAGACGAAAGAGGGGGGAGGAAGGGGGGGTGAGAGAAGGGGGAGAGTCATTGGGGAGGGGTAGAGGGAGCAGAGATAGATTGGACAAGGCCGCGAGGACAGGAGAATTTGGCAAGGGCATGGCAGCAGGGGCTGGAGAACAGCACGTGTACCTCCGAAGCTGGGTGACGGGAGGCTGCCGACAGCAGGCGCGGAGGGGGAAGAGGAGGATGGGGGGGTGGATATTGGGGAGTGGGTGGGAGAGGAAGGGCATGGCAGCAGAGGCGAGGCGGGCACGCGTACCTCCGAAGCTGGGCGGCGAGAGGCTGCCGAAAGCAGGCGCGGACGCAGCGCCGAACGCGGACGTGCCCGTCGTCCCGAACAGCCCCCCCGTCGCCCCGAACGCTGGCGCGCTCGCCGCGCCGAACGCGGGCGTCGTCGCGGTCGCGCCAAACGCGGGCGCGGACGCGCCGAAGGCGGGAGCGGCGGCGCCGAACGCGGGCGCGGCGCCAGTGGCGGCGCCGAAGGTAGGCGTTGTGGCGGTGGAGCCGAACGCCCCGCCTGCTCCAAACGCCGGCTGGGACTGCTGGCCGAAAGCGGGCGCTCCGAAGGGACTGGCCTGGGTTTGCCCAAACGTGCCGAACGCTGCTGGCTTCTGCTGCTGCCCGAACAGCGACGAGCCTGTTGGCGTGAGGTAGCGTGGGAGAAAAGAAGAATAAGCGAAGGAGTGAGGAGAAGATGATCCTAGCAATAAAATTGGCAGTGAATGGGGAGAATATGGATTCAAGATATGCGAGCCAACAGGTTGGATACGAAACGCAGTGCGGCAGCGCAGAAGGAATTTAGCAACCGTTGCTGTTTCTAATGCGCTTTGAGACCCACGTACGCCGGACAAACGTGTTAAGAGTCGACTCAATACACGCTTGGGACCCATGTACGCCGAACAAACCACACGCGGATCGCGTTCTTAAAAATCGCGAACACCGCTTACCGCCTGCAAGAACCGCTTACCGCAGCCCAATACCGCTTACACCGCCAAGCACCGCTTACCGCCGCCAAAAGGTGAAGCCGTGGACCCAAACGCTGGAGTCGACGCCGCTGCGCCGAAAGCAGGCGCGGACGTCGCGCCGAAGGCGGGCGCAGAAGTCGCGCCGAACACGCTTCCTGTTGCCGCCCCTCCGCCAAAGAGTGATGTGCCCGCCTGGCCGAACGGACTGGCGGGAGTTGCGGACGCGCCGAAGGCGGACGTGGCGCCGAAAGGGGACGCCGGCTGCGCCGCGCCAAACGGAGAGCCCCCCGCCGGGGCGAACGGGTTCGCCATGGCTAGATGCTAGCGTGAAGGATTAGGGTTTGAAGTGACTGGATGCTGGATAGAAGGGTTTGAGGTGACTGGAAGCTGGAAGTCAAAATTTGGTATGGTGTAATCAAGGCAAATCTGCTATTTTTGTCTGCATGGCGTAGGGAATTTAAAGAGATCTATGAGCGATAGGTGAAGAGGAGAAGTAGCGAGGTGTGGCGAGGTTGCACATTAGCTCCACAACTAACCTGGATAACTCCGTGAATTACCTGGATAAGCGCACCTACAAACCAGTCACGAAACTCGAGGAGCTCACGTAGGGTCAGCCATTCGGAAAATAAGAGCGTCTGACGACGGCAATGTTCATACCCTTGATCAGCTAGCACGCAACCATCACGCGCCCGTTCTACGTACTGCTTGTGGTGGTATTGATAGTTCTGATCCAGAAGTAGCACCTTGGATCAGCCTTGGGAGGAACAACCTCGAGAGCAGATCTTGGCCTGAAGCACACGGGGAGGTACAGGAGCGCTGTGTCATGGTGCTGCTAATAATGAAGCTTTGATTGGCAGTGAGCGAAACGAAGCGACGGGATTTGCGTGCACGAACGCCAAACCTCCTGTAACACGCTTCCCACGAACCAATACGTTCCAGCAGCCGAGCACGCAACAAGGCGGGAAAGCGAAGACTTTAGTTGAAGCTTCGAGTAACATTGTTACATATTCAAAAGCACTCGGTAAATGTCGTGAACCTGTTACGGGTGCAATGAATCGAAGTAGCGAGAATTGCACTAAGGTGTCAAACGAGTACAAAATGTGAGCGAAGGCATGAGCGAACATTTATACGTGTTACGAGTGCAATTGAGTGAACGAACGAGAATTGCACTACCGAAGCAAGAGTACAATGAGCGAAGGCACGAGCGAAGAATATATAGCGAAACTACAGTGGTAACGGTAATGGACTGTGGTTGTCGCGCGACGGGCCTGGGACTGAGGTTGGGAAAAGTGACGAAGCGGAGGCCCGGAGCGCGGGTTACCCGCTGAGCCGTGAGGTCGGGGTGCGACGTGCGAAAGTGGCGGGCGGATTGTCGATGCGAGGATTGCGAGTGGTAACGGTGCTGACTGTGGTGCTACAGTGATGTACGCGTTGAGCAGGGATGCGAAGTAAGGAAAAGGAATTTTCCTTACAATACGCGAAATATGCAAACGGTAACGCGGTGCGTGCGAGCTAGCTAGTGCTATGCTGGAAGTGAGGCTGGGGCTAGTCCCGAAGTGTAGGCCGACACGGCCAGGCCAGCAGTGCGAGGTTTGGTGAAACAGTGCGTGCGAAGTCGGCGAAGCCCCGTTAGCAGTAACGGGCGAACAACGGCTGCTGTTGTACGCAATGTTGCAGGATGCGCTAAGGAATATCGAGAAAATTCCTTACACTACCCCCGCCCTCAAGAAGCCCCCTCCGCTACGCGAGTGCGTGTATATCGCAGAAGCCCCGGCTCCTTAGGTACACTTGCAGGGCAGGGTGGTTTTCGATGTTGGCCAGGGGCACCCAGCTATCCTCAGTTGGCGTGCGATCCTTCCAGCGAATGAGGAATTCAATCCTCCTGATTCCCGTGGGGTGTCGAATCCGATGGCTCATGATTTTTTCGGGCTCGATGATCGGCTCCGATGCAGGGCGGGTCATGGGTGGCGGGCGGTGGCGGGGCAGTTGGCTTGTGGTTGGGATGTATGGGCGAAGCAAGCTGACGTGGAATGAAAGGCTGATGTACTAGTCCGTCGGCAACAGTAGGTGAGCTGTTACTGGAGTAATCATGTGGCTGATTTGGAATGGTCCACAGTAGCGGGGTCGTAATTTCGGTACGACGGGCAGTCTTAAGTTTTGCGTGTCGAGCAGTACATAATCTCCTGACTGGTACGTGACTGGGCGGCGATGGCGGTCACCGTTGCGCTTAGCGATAACTTTGGCTTTTTTAATTGCTTCTGCGGCTCTGGTGCGGGCAGCTTGCAGAATTTCGGCGAATTGCTGTGCACGTGGTGTTGGGTTGTCCGGACTCGGCGTCATGGGCACTGTAGGGTTTTGCCCGTAGTTCAGGTAGAAGGGGGACTGTTGCATCATCGCTGACGTGGCGTTGTTGTACGCGAACTCGATCAGCGGCAGCTGCTGCTCCCAAGTGGTCGGGTCGTCGCACGTGGCACGAATCAACCGCTCCATCGTCTGATTCGTCCGCTCCGTTTGAACGTCGGTCTCGGGGTGGTACGACGAGCTGAACTGTAGCCTTGTCCCGAACTGCTCCCAGAGGTTCTTCCAGAAGTTGCTGGTGAACTTCATGTCGCGGTCGCTGATTATCGCGGCTGGTATCCCGTGAAGTCGCACGACGGCTGCGATGAACAGGCGAGCGGTTTCTTCGGCTGAGATCGATTTCTTGCACGCAGCGAAGTGTGCCATCTTCGTCAACCTGTCAACGACGACCATAACCGCGTCGTTACCCCCAGGGTTCGAAGGTAACCCTGTGACGAAATCCATGGTAACCTGCTGCCAGGCGCGCTCAGGCGGTGGGATCGGCTGCAACTGACCCGCCTTTCTTTTTCGCGAGCTCTTCATCACCTGACACGTAAGACACGAGCCCACGTGGTGTTGTACGTCGGTCAACAGCTCCGGCCAGTAGTAATACCGCTGCAGTTGCTGTCGCGTTTTTTCTACCCCGAAATGTCCTGAGGTAATCCCGTCGTGTGCCTCCTGTAGTAACAGTTCCCTCAGTAGTGAGTACGCGGGTACCCAGATGCGGTTGGTGCCTGTTTTTACGTAATAGACTCCTCTGGCCTCTGTGAGTCGCTGTGAATTTCCGGTCGTGAAGAATGGTTCGGTACTCTATCCGTGGGTCAATAGGCCTGTTAACAGTGGGTTGGTTTGGGCGAGAAGGATGGCGTGGAGTTGGGCGGTGGGGCGTGTGAGTGCGTCGGCGATGTTGGATGCGCCTTTTTTATACGTGACCGTATAGTGGAAGTTGGACTCCAGATAGTCCAACCAGCAGATCTGTCGTGGGTTGAGGTTCGGTTGGGTGCGAAGGTACTGTAGGGATCGGTGGTCTGTCCGTACTGTCACGTCTACTCCCGTGAGGTAACATCGCCACACCTTGAACGCGTGTACGAGATCGCCAGCATCTTGCGGTCGTGTATCGGGTAGTTGCGTTCGGGCGGGTGAAGCTTGCGGGACTCGTACGCGATTGGCTGAAGGCCGTTCCCGAAGTCCTGCAACAGTACTGCTCCCACAGCGATGTCGCTAGCGTCGGTGACGAGCTCGAACGGACGGTGCGGATCTGCGATGTGAAGCACGGGCGGCGAGCACAAAGTATTTTTGAGGGCCGAGAAGGCAGCTTGCTCTTTCTCCCCCCACGTGTACTCAAACCCCTTCCTCAGCAGGTCAGTCAACGGGGCAGTCAGCTTCGCCATGTCGAGGACGAACCGGCGCACGTACTTGACGAACCCCAGAAAACTCTGCAACTCGGTCAAGTTGGTCGGTGCGTGCCATGCTTGAATCGTCGCGATCTTTTTCGGGTCTATTTCCACTCCTACAGCTGAAATAACGTGTCCCAAAAACTCCAGGCGGTCCTGTAAAATCTCACACTTAGACGCTTTGGTCAGTAGGCGGTTCTCACTCAGTCTCTTAAAAACTGCTTCGATGTCCTGTAAGTGATGTGCTCTGTCGAGGCTGTAAATCAGTATGCCGTCCAGGTATACGATGACGCAGTTATTTAAGAGCGGGCGGAAGGCTTCGTTCATGGTTATTTGAAAAGTGGCAGGGGCGTTGGTCAGTCCGAAGGGCATGATGGTGTATTCGAAGGATCCATAGCGTGTTCGGAAGGCTGTCTTAGGGCAGTCAGGTGGGTTGACACGAATCTGGTGGTAACCTCCTCGAAGGTCGGTTTTCGAGAAAACCCGGGCTGTGCGCAGTTGGTCGATCAGTTCGTCAGCTCGCGAGATGGGAAAACGGGATTTGATGGTAACCCTGTTCAGTGCTCTGTAATCTATGCACATGCGAAATCCCTGTCTTTTTTCGGTGTGAACAGTATCGGTGCTGCGAAGGGTGACAAGCTAGGGCGAATGAATTCCTTCTCAAGCAGGTAATCCAGCTCCTTCCTCAGTTCGTCCAGTTCGCGTTGAGTCAGTCGGAACTGTCGCTGTACTGTCGGCTGTGCCCCCGGTTCTAGTTCTATCATGTGGTCGTGCGGTCGCTGAGGTGGCAGTCCCGTCGGTAGGTCGTCCGGGAAGATGTCACCGTACTGCTTCAACAGTGCTCCCAGATCACTCGGTACGTCGGTTAGCAGATTCTGTAAATCCCCTCCTTTGTCTGCTGCCTCGGCTTCCCGAATGTCAACCGCATACACTTCAGCTCCTGCCGCTACAGCGCGTTTCATCGTGATCGCGTTGACACGCACCGACAATGACTCAGGCGAGCCACAGCGAGGTAAGGCGATGTTTTTACCGTTCACTCGCACACTGCAGTCACCCGTGGTCCAGTCGATTCGCAGATTGTGTCGTCGCAGCCAATCACGCCCGAGTAAAATGTCGGTTCCGTCGAGGGTCGTTGCAAGCATTTCCTGGCTAAACGTAAAGTTACCCCCGCATCGAATCCGAACTCGGTCCACACGTTCCCGTATCGCCAATGGCGTGCCGTCGACCAGTCTTGCGTCAATCTCAGGTAAACATCTGTCCAGTGGCAGTCGCAGTTTTCGTGCTGTTGCAGTGTTGATAAGGCTATGGCTGGCCCCCCCGTCTACGAATATTTTAACTAAGTCAGTCCCGATTTTCCCACTAAGCAGTATAGGGCTGTCTACCGCAGTACCCTCCTTATTCGACCGGGTGTGGTCGATTGCGTGAACCGGCACAATCACTCGGTGAGGGTCGGTTGGGTCGGGCGAGCGGCGTGACCTGTCAGTAGAGGGCCCGTCTGCTACTGACTCCCAGCGTTTCCCTGCTGCTTGGTCTGTTTCTGCTGCTCAGCTTCCCCCTTTCCCTTAGCATTTCCGGGCATTCGCTCTTACGGTGTCCCGGCCGATTGCACGCAAAGCAGCGCCCTTTGAACGGTGCGGCAGCGGCATTTGCGGCGACGGCACGTATCGTAGCGCCCTCGTTCGTCCCACGAGGCCGATGTCCCCAATTGCTGCTTCCGTAGGACCCCGGTCTCGGTCGGCGGAAGAAATCGAGTTTCTCCGCCATGGCGAGAATCTCCTAAAAATCGGTGACACCGCGAAGCTGGATTTCCTGAGCGATGTCCTACTTCAGGCTGCCGATGTAGCGGTCGATGCGTTCGCTCTCGTGCATGTATCCCACCTGCTCGCATAGCGAGAGAAACCCGCTCGTGTAGTCTTGGACGGAACCGAGTTGGCGCCAAGTGCGGAGCCTCTGTCGCGCCGCGATCGAAGCCGCAATTGGCTCGAAACGAGCGTGCAGACCTGCGCACCACGCGTCCCACGTGCGATAGTGGGGGACCTCCACGAAATACGACGGCGCCCAGGGTCCGGTTTGTCCTTCCCGTGTCGAAAGAGTCGCGTAGTCCACTGGCTTCGTGACGATGACACGCCACCAGTCCATGGCGGGTCCTCGCAGCAACGACACGGAGTAGCGAATCTTCGCCGTATCCTCCGAGACGTAGTTCGCGTCGAAGAAAACGTTCAACGTGAAGAGCCACGCCTGAACGGTAGGACCACCCCGCTGACTTGGATCGAAACATGGCGGACGCTGCGGCTTCAGCGGCATCGGCGACGGAAGAGCTGATTCGCCGGCCGGCACTGAAATCGTAACTCGAGGTTGATTCCTGGCCACATTCGTCGCGTCGGGGTGTGTCGTGCCGTGGTAGTCGTCTCCGTCATGGCGGACGACGCCATCACTTGCGGCGCTCGCGGGTTGCCCCACACTTCCGTGCTGTGATGCCTGTGGTGCGGGCTGAATCGGAGTGCCAGGTGCTTGGGATTGTGTTCGTGCGAGGTCGTTTTGTAGGGACGTGCGTTCTGCCGTCAGCGCCGCGATTTCTTCAGAGCTTTCGCGGATCTGCCGCAGCAGTTCGTTCAAGTGCTCCTGCGTGAGAGTCGTGACATCGATATGCTCAGCCATTTCGAAGGGCGTTGGCTCGTCTTAGTCTAGGCGTAGTCGTGGCTGCACGCGTTTACGAGAGAACGCGAGGATAGCGGCTCCTAGGTGCTAAGGTGCGTGAGTCCCTTCGAGTGAAAGAATCAAAAGTTGATTTCCTGGGGTGCGGAGATGTGCGGTCCGAAAAGGAAAGAGGCTCTGAATACCAAGTGTTACGGGTGCAATGAATCGAAGTAGCGAGAATTGCACTAAGGTGTCAAACGAGTACAAAATGTGAGCGAAGGCATGAGCAAACATTTATACGCGAAACATGCAAACGGTAACGCGGTGCGTGCGAGCTAGCTAGTGCTATGCTGGAAGCGAGGCTCGGGCTAGTCCCGAAGCGTAGGCCGACACGGCCAGGCCAGCAGTGCGAGGTTTGGTGAAACAGTGTGCACGAAGTCGGCGAAGCCCCGTTAGCAGTAACGGGTGAACAACGGCTGCTGCTGTATGCGATGTTGCAGGATGCGCTAAGGAATATCGAGAAATTCCTTACAGAACCAAAGAACACACAAAACTTTCCATGAAGTGTTTATATGACGGGGCGTGTTGATACGAGGACGCGTTATGTCATTCTTGAGGCTTGGCAAGTCAACCACTTAAGTTTCAATTAGTAGAATAGAAACCTATTTACCTAACCTGCACTCTTGTCAAATCTTACTAACTGGTAAGGCAATAAGATAAAGATACCGTTCGGTCAACGAAGCCAGTGGAATAAAATACTGCTCACCATGTCAAGTTGGTGCGAGGCGTCTCCTCATTTCCGCCATGGGTCCTGCTTCGTGTGGAAGTGAGCAAGTGCTTGTAGGTGTCACGGAGAGCTCGTTTTTACCACACGCCCTAAGATCACCTCGGCGGCAGAACCTGTAGCCGTCGCTGAGACTCATTTGAACGTTCAGGCCGCGTCCGTTCCACCGTCGTCTAACCGCTTAGCCGTTCTTTCACTTTTAGAATCCTCCTACTCGTCCGTCCGTCCGTCCGTCCGTCCGTCCGTCCGTCTGACCGACCGTCCGTCCGTTCGTCCGTCCATCCGTCCATCCGTCGGTCCGTCCGTCGGTGCGGCCGCCATGGGACCGCAGCAAGGCGTGCGTGCGAGTCGGCGCGTGGCGGCTCACACGCGGCTGCTCGTTCTCCTCTGCCTCGTCCTCGCCGCATCTGCCGCTCGCACAGCTGGTCACCGCGGCTCTGGTCAGTGCCCGCGCAATCTCTCCCGTTGCCCGCGCGCCCTCGCCCGTTGCCCTGGCGCTATCGTCCTATCTTCCTCGCCCTATTTGCCCTATCACTCCGGTTTCTCTTCCCACTTCCCTCTCCTCTGTTCTGCAACTTTCCCCTTTCCTTTTCTCCTTTCACTTCACCTCCTGCCCTGCTCGCAATCCTTCCTCCCCACCTCCCTCGCCTGCCCTATTCCCCTAGTTCAACCCCTACGCCTCCAATCTCTCACATCCTCGCGTCCACCGGCCCACCCTCCCATCCCACCCCTTAGGGTGCTCTCAACGCTAAAGCTCCCCCCTTCCCCTCGTCCATTGCTTCCGCTCGCCCTGTCTCCCGCTTCCTTGATCACCCCCCTTGGTCCCTGCTTGTTCCCCCTTGATCCCCCCTCTCCGTGTTGGCCCCCCCTGGGTCGCCCCTGCGCCCCCCCTCTTCCCGACCCTCCCCACCCTGGCTGTTCACTTGCAGGACGTCAATGGGGTAAGCACAGCAGCAGCAGCAGCATTCGGCACAGTCGGAGCAGCAGCCGTGGTGGCAGCAGCAACAGTGAAGGTAGCAGCAGCAGCAGCAGCAGCAGCAGCAGCAGCAGCAGCAGCAGCACCAGCAGCACCAGCAGCACCAGCAGCACCGACAGCACTAGCAGCAGCAGTAGCAGCAGTAGCATCACCAGCAGCAGCACTGTCAACCCACCGGCACTTCCTCCTCTCCCTCCTCCTGCCGCACCTCCTTCCCCTCTTGCTCAGAAACAAGCAGAGGCTTCTTCTTCGAAGCAACAGCCCACTGCAGGCTCCGCAGGTTCGACAGGCTCGGCAGGTTCAGCAGGTTCAACAGGTTCGGCAGGTTCAACGGGTTCGGCAGGTTCAACAGGTTCGGCAGGCTCAACAGGTTCGACAGGTTCAACGGGTTCAGCAGGTTCAACAGGTTCGGCAGCATCGCACCAACCGCTGGCGCCTTTAACCGAGGCGCAAGCGGAAGGTGAGCGGCAATCTCCTTCTGCGTTGAATGCGGACGCAGGTGAAGCGCAGGGATTAGCAGAAGCAGAAGCGCAGCAGCCAGCCAAGGCACCGCGAGTAGCACCGCAGCAGCTAGGCACACCGCCATTGCCTAAGAAGGGAGAGGAGAACGGTGCTGGAGAGGGGGAAAGGGGGGGAGAAGGAGAGAACGAAGGAGAGGGGGTGAAGGAGGGAGAAAGCGAGAAGGAAGGAGAGGAGGAAAAGGAAGGAGAGGAGGAGAAGGAAGGAGAGAACGAGAATGAAGGAGAGAGCGGGAAGGAAGGAGAGGAAGAGAAGGAAGGGGAGGAGGAGAAGGAAGGAGCGGGGGAGGAGGAAGGAAAAGGGGAGAAGGAAGGAGAAGGCGAGAAAGAGGGAGAGAGGGAGGAGGAGGAGGAGGGGGGAGAGAAGGAAGGAGAGGGGGCGGCGGAAGGAGAGGGTGAAATGCGAGAGGGAGAGAATGAAGGGGAGGAGGGGAGAGAGGGAGAGGGGGATAAAGGAGAGCCTGAAAAGGAAGGAGATGGGGACATGGCGGGGAAGGCAGCAAAAGACTCAGAGGTGGGAAATCAACAAGCACAGGCACAAGAACAAATAAACACTAACCAGCAAGCCAAGCCGCAACAACAAGCAGCACCCCCATTGACGCTGCAGCAGGCTGATGCGCTGGTAACCCTATCGCAAGACGTGCACGAGGCAGCAGATCTGCCAGAAGATTCCCAGAAGGTGCTGCTGGGCGGCATGGGGGCGGCACTGGTAGCAGCCAAGATGTGGCCGTGTAACCTGTTTGGCGGACGGGCGGCATGCCGACCAGTAGCAGGCATTGGCCGGGGCAATGGAGCACCGAAGACGGGAACAGGAGGGGCAAGAGGCGAGGAGAAAGAGGAGAAGGAGGAGGGGATTGTGAGTGTGGGGATGATGCAGCAGTGCGCCGTTGACCTGGTCAACCCTACGGTTGACTGCGCGTACACTCTAGAGGAGCGGGAGGGGCAGGCTCTGGACCCGGACGTGGTGGTGCGAGCAAGGTTGCAGCAGGCGGGGTACTCCCCGCCTTGTGAGCCATGCCTGCAGGCGCTGCACCGCTTCTGGTGTGGCCAGACCGTGCCCACTTGTGGCACTTTTGAGAAGATCGTGGACGAAGTGCTGGTGAGTGCGGATGGCCCCTGGTTTGTTGTGCTGCGCAGGTGCCTGTTGACTGGGCTCCTTGGGTTGGGGCTCGGTGGGTTGTAGTGTGGAGATGGGCAGGTGAGGCTGGTCCCAGTACTTGCAGCAGGCGGGGTACTCCCCGCCTTGTGAGCCATGCCTGCAGGCGCTGCACCGCTTCTGGTGTGGCCAGACCGTGCCCACTTGTGGCACTTTTGAGAAGATTGAGTGTGGACGAAGTCCCTGGTGAGTTTGGGTGGTGGGGAGGGGAGGATGGGTTGGAAGGGTAAGTAGTGTGCAGGATGTAGTTCACATCTGACCAGAAGCAGCCTGAGGCCCGCATAGGGGCAGTTCTTGTTGCTTTAATAACATTCACTCGTTTCTCCTACCCTCCACCCACTTCTTATCACCCTGCCACCAGCCGGAGCTGCGCCAGATTACGACTGGCCAGGAGAAGCCTGACGAGCTCATTGAAGCCGCCCTCCCTCGCATGCTCGCAGCTTTTTCTCTCGGGCTGCCCTGCAAAGAAATGTGCCTCGAAGTCACCTCGCTCTGTAGCTGCGGGCAGATCACCACCTTCGGGCAGGCGATGGAGTTTTTGGAGGCTGCCCGTCCAGGCAAGGGGCCCAATGTAAGGGTGCCCGTTGGATTCACAACGGGGATGTCGAATCGGACGGCTGAGAAGATCTTCAAGCATGTGTGGGATCGGCACGTCTGCGACCTCTTCTCTCCTTCAGTAAGTCTCTTCCCCTTTGTCTCAGCTTTCCCCCTCTTCACTCAGTTTTGCTCCCCTTCAGCTCTCACCCTCGCCCTCACCCTCACCCTCACTCTCACTCTCACTCTCACTCTCACACGCCCTGGCTGCTGCTGGCACTGACAGGATATGCCGGGTTTTGAGGGTAAGTGCTACAAGCACACACAAGAGGAGGTTTCTTTTGAGTCGACTCAATAATTAGTTCGGCTTTTACCAACACTACACCAAACCGTCAACCCGTCTCTTTCTCACTATGGCTGCTGCTGGCACTGGCAGGATATGCCGGGTTTCGAGGGAAAGTGCTACAAGCATACACGAGAGGAGGTCATGGCGCAGGCAGGGGGCTGTGATTGGTGCAAGGGAGATGCGGACAGGCCTGATGAGATGGCGGTGGAGATTGTGGCGCAAATGGCACAGTCTATATCGAGTATGATGCAGGTGAGTCGGTCTATATCAAGTATGATGCAGGTGAGTCGGTCTATATCGAGTATGATGCAGGTGAGTCAGTGTATATCGAGTATGATGCAGGTGAGTTGCTCTGTATTGAGTAGGATGCAGTTGAGACAGTATCGAGTACACTGTACGCTGGTCCTTAGGACATGCGTGCACAAACCCTCCCATTTTATCTTCATTCTCCTCTCTCTCTCCCACACAACCTGCAGGCTGGGTTGGAGCAGGTTCTCTTTGCCGCAGCCTTCCCCTTAGCTTCAGTCAGCCACCACGTGTCACGCACCCGCGCTGCTGCTGGTGGTGACAGCGGCGCTGCTGCTGCTTCTACTGCTGGTGCTACTGCTGGTGCTGCCGCTGGTGCTGTCACTGGTACTCGCACAGGTGCTGGCAGTGGTGGAAGGGAGGGGGAGGCTGAAGAGGAGGAAAGAGGGGGCGAGGAGGAAGCAACAGAGGCACCTACAGAGGGTGAAGCAGCAGCGGAGGAACGGGCAGAGGAGGAGGAGGTACAGGAGGTGGAGACAGAGGAAGCAGCGATAGAAGCGGAGGAGAAGAAGGAGCTTGATTTCGGGGGGATTGACGAGGGAGAGGACAGTGCTGTGTCGTGGGAACCCCAAGATCAAGTGCTGGGCACTGCTGGGGCTGCAGATGTTATGGGCGGCATGGAGACAGGCGGGCGGACAGCAGGCGGCCGGGCGGCAGGGGGGTGGGCGGCCGGGGGAAGGGCTGGTGGGGGGAGAGATTCTGGCGTGGTGAGGGGAGGAGGAGTGGAGAGAGGAGAAGCTGCGGCTGTGATGGGAGGAAGGGAAGGGGGCAGGTCGAGTGGTGGGGATGCAGGAGGGTCGGAGGGAGCATTGCAGGGGGTTGAGATGGGTGGAAGGGAAGAAGGCATGGCAGGAGGAGGTGGTGATGTGGGCTCACGTGGTTCGTCAGACAAGAGGGTGCGAGAGGAGGATGCGGAGGACGAGGAGGAACGGGAGATGGAGAAAGCAGAGGAGGAGGAAGATGCTGCGGAGGCAAGGAGCGGCAGGAATCCTGACAGCAGCAGCAGCAGCAGCAGCAGCAGAAGCGGTGGAGGCAGCAATGCGGACTTTCCCCAGAGCAGGACCAGCCCGACAGTTGACCCCTCCTATGAGCCTTCCGTCAACACGGAGTTCGGCGAGCCGTCTCTTTCCTCCTCCTCACCGTCAGCGGAAGTGCCGTTGCAAACCAACAGAGGGAGCAGCCAGGACGGGAGTGGGGGTTCGGTGTGGTTGGGGGTGCTGCTGCTGGTGGTGGTGGGTGGGGCGCTGGCAGCTTTTGCAGCATTGCAGCTGATGCGGAGGCAGAAGTGGAGACGCGCGGCTGATGGCGGGACGTCGTATGTGCAGGTGCAGGAGATGGCGTATGTGCCTCCCTCCCTCTGATGTGATATGTCTGATTTTCTAAGGACGGACATAGTTTATGGTCGTATCTTACCCCATTGCACCTTAATATCGTAATGAAGTTATTCTGCACATCAGTATCAACTCACCACCCCTGTATTTCTCTCTCACGACTGATTCCGACCAGCCAAGTTTGGTCGAGCGACAGGGAGATTCTGGAACGTCTTGATGCAAGGATAGGCGCACTCAAAATCTTCCTGTCAATGAATTTGAACAAAGCTGATCATTACACCAGCAAGCATTCTAGGTCAACCATCTAGGGTAACTCTTGGTTCCAGGATCTGCCAGCTGTCACCAATCCACCATCCCTTAACTCTACGCATGTATGGATGCTGCAGGGTGGGAAACAGGCAGATTATTGATTGAGAAGAGGAAGATGATTAGTCTGATGACATCTAAGGCCTCGACACAGCACATCCAATCCAAGGTATCTGACAAAATCTCGGGCAACGACCGACTAGGCTTTTGCCTGTAAGACCGCCTCTGTCTCAATAATTTCTCCTACCATTAGAATATGATGCGAAACCGAGGCGCCTCTCCTCCTCCTGATGGCAGCACCTCCCATCGGCACGGCTCTAGATCGTCCGACACCGGACAGTACCCCGCCAGCGTGGATTTATCTTCCGACACGGACGCGGAGCCGAACTCGAAGACGTTCGTGTTGCTCATGTCTGGCGAGGTGCCTTGCGACGGGGATGCTGCGGGAGCGGGAGCGGGCTTGCTGCTTTCCTTCGAGGGTTTAGAACCCTTGGCGGATTTCTGTGAAGAGCTCATGGTGAAAAATGGAGGGAAGTTGAGCAGGGACAAACCAGAGGAAGCTAAGGAGGTCAGCCTCTTTGATGGATTCCGAAGGATGATGCGGCTGGCTGGAAAATGGTCGGGTTGTGAAAACTGAGAACAGGTATTTCAGAAATATGAGTTGGCGATTATTCGTTGATTTACAATTTTCGAGTACAGTATCCCAGCTCTGCCATTCCTGGTTCGTTTGTGTTTTCGTTGCAAATTTGTAACCAGAAAGGTCGTCTCGCAACTGAACTCGCCAATCCCCAAGGGCACAGAAAGAGTATGGTCGTTGCCTAAAATGCTCATTCGTTGATCTCTACATCATCCACCCACATGAACCTGCGACGGATTTTTGTGTTCGGAAGTGTTCCAGATCACAAAACTGCAACGCGAGGGAACAGACCCCCACCATTTTGAAGTCATGCGAGCAATTTTGTCCCACTTCGAGTAAATTGTGAGAAACAGTTACTCCGCATACTTGCTCATCCTTCGAATTCTCAAATCGGGCCCTAGATCTTGACGGAAAGCTGCCAGCTTCAGCTTTAGTCGATCATTCTTAGCAGTCCTCCACTTGAACTCCCGCCATATACAGCGGCGCGAAGCCGTTCGCAAGCTCATCAAGGTATTATATCTGAGTTTCTTGAGTCCCGGTTAGGAAGCCGTCAAGTGATTGTTTCGTAGAATCCTTTCGGCCGATTTTCCTGACCTCAGTGGTCATTCAATTTATCGTTTCCATCGACCTCTGTGGCAGATGATTGACGATCAAGATCTCGGGTTCTTCGCGAACGTCCTCGGCATCACGATCTTCATGTTGGTCGTGGCCTATCATTACGTGCTTGCGGACCCTAAGTATGAAGGCTGAGACTAGGGGGTAGAGCGGATGATTCACATGCGGTTGCGTCGCTTAGACCCCACCCAATCCCCCTCACCTTTTGTATTAATACAAGCTGCGCCCATAGTGCTTTGATACCCATTTCTAACTTCCCGTTCACCAGGATTTGGGATTGAAAAGGTGGTTTTTACATTTGGCATTTACAGCTGCGCCATTGCATTTGGCATCCACCACAAGCACCATCCACTTATTACAGCCTTACCTTCACTTGGAGCACCTGAAACGTAACCAGGCTGGAAATGTTCACTGTGGTCATGTCCTTTTTACCCTTGCTGATGGCCAAGTTGTTGATTTGTCATGGGCTAAACATCCACTTGAATGAGCTGCTTATTCTGCACAGGATCGCTTGAAAACTTAGGAGATCAACAGCGAAACAATATCACAGCCTGAGCTGTGTACTAGCTTCGCTTAGGCTTTTGCCTAATCATGCGAATTATTGCGTTGAGGATCTTGGAGAACCAGAAAGTGCTGACAGCTTGGATTGCCACTGCACCGACCTGTGACAGAACCAACACCACATTAGAAAATAGAAATGAGACATACTGAGCGAGACAGGATCCATTGGACGTGGTGCGTGACTGATTGGGGGGGATGGAGAGATGGGGGGTGAAGGTGGGAGGGAGAGCGAGAGAGGGGGTTGCGGGTGGAAGAGTGAGAGAGGCACAGACAGAGGGAATCAGAGATAAAAAATATACAACAAGGCTGAACAGTGGGACAGTGAGGAACGCCAGTGGTTACCTTAACAGCAGTGGGGCTCGTCCCAATAACAGTATTCCATGTTACCACCGGACCGACGACCATGCGGGCTATTGTGAAGGAAATGAGAAAAGCCAGCTGCAACCATGTCACACAAGAGATGGAGGGTGGTAGGGAGGCAGTAGAAGAGTCAGAGAAGCCGGCAAGAGGGAATGATAGGGCAGGACAGGAAACAAGTGACAGTACGACGGTAAGAAACAATCTCTCCCCAGAGTGATTAGGAGCTCGAATGTGTAGTGTGGTGCACAGACTGGTGTAGTAGCTTGTTCTTAAGACTGCAATGCGAAATGTTTACTATCAATGGTCTCACATCAACAGCAAAGGTGAGTGCCGACTTGGGAGCATCCAGCTCGCGAAGCATCTCCCTGGCGTGCATGAAGGGGTTGGACAGCTCCACCAGCCACAGGCACGCCATCAACTCCTCCCCACACTGCTCCAGGGAATAGTTGGAATTTAGGCAATGAAAGTGGAGGTAGTGTGTTACAATGGCTGCTGAGAGAAGACCAGGGTAAGGACAGAACAGCCATTTTTGGAAGTTCATGCAAAACGGTTTCGCAGGTTTGTTCATTGTGTTCCTAGTAAAAGTTTCTGCGTGCCACGTACGTACCCGACCAGAAATGAGGCCAAAGGCGAATCCGGCTATGGAAAATATGTGGTGGAAAGCGTTGGCCCAGTCGAATGTGACATCGAACAGGCAGCAGACGAAGTCGTAGAGGAAATAGCTGAGGCTGATCACCATAGCTTGGACCTGGTGGTGATGATGTGGCATGCAAACAAATGGGCTTTTGAGGCGCCTCAGAACAAGCAGCAGATGAAGTCATAGATGAAATAACTCAGGCTGATTACGATGGCTTGGGCCTGGTGGTGATGTGGCACACGAACAAAGTGGGTTGGATGAGCAGGATCGAACACAGGATCACTTTTGTCATGAATGCAAGAAGGTTGGAGAATGTAACGATGCCAGGGGATGGTGACTCGAATTGCAACCATACTTGGCAGGCTGGGTCAGAACGTGCTGAAGACCTAGCAAACTGTGTACCAGGCATATGCTGTGCTTTGAAACGCGAAATGCACGTGACAGGTTGTAATGCTTGCAGACAAAAGCGATGCACTGTGGCAGGATTTATGTTTTATGATTTTATCCACACACACACACACACACACACACACACGCACACACACACACACACACACACACACACACACACACACACTGTGCCGAAACATAAGTCATGCGGTCGAGGAGGTCACCTGAGGAAGGGTGTTGCGGCCTCCAAAGTTCCCAAGCGGATCCGACCAGTTGAGAGCCCTTGTAGCAAGGGCGAGAGCAATGACCACATGCACCTGGTGATGAGTGGGAGGCGAGAGGGCGACGAGACATGCATATGAAGAAGTGCTTTGAGACATCTCAAAACACTTCTTCATACCAATTGAGAGCCCTTGTCGAGAGGGCGAGAGCAATGACCACATGCACCTGGCGATGAGAGTGGAGGAGAGGGCGACGAGACATCCCGAATAAACGATTAACAAGCACGTGAGAGAGGAATAGACTCAGCTGGTAGCAGGCATTGTGAAAGCAAGCCGAAGTGCATTGTTAGAGGTTATTTTGTGCGTGCACATTGTGTACTTCAGGTGAAGAAGCGATGAATGTGTGGCCTGAGACGTCTGAGTCTGGAGCCAGACCTTACATATCAGTAAATGAGCGCGGATTTTGAATAGCTTGCATAACTTGCCTGCGAAACAGCTCGGTTACAGAAATCAAAGGAGACGCGCGACAAAATCGAGAGGCGGAGCGTGAGGAAGAGCAGAGTCCATGTGCCGGTGGCGACGACGAGCGTATGCAGGAGAATGTAGCTCTCCTCCTCTGACAAGCTACCCCATGATCCCGTCGGGAGATGCTGCAGTATGGTCCCTGGCGGGATGTCAAGCCATTCCTGAAGCTTCGACGGCATTGCGGCTCAGAAAATGAGAGGGTTTGTTAGTGATATAGAATTTACTTTTGCGGAATTGGATCGGCGATAAACGGAGAGGGTGATCAAATGCCGTCAATAATGCATCAGCTGTGGAGAATTCCGTCTTACGACGACTGCGAGGTTGCGAGTTTTTTCACTGGGCCAGTGCGAAATGATTGGGTATTGGGTGAGACTTAGTATGCGCTGACACTGGGAGGGTGTTAAGTGGAGAGAAAGGAAAACAGGGATGCAAGATTGGCTCAAGTTATGGGCCACAGAGCCATGAGTGATGATGAAAGCACAAACTTCAAGTCCCTAGAACTCACTCGTACGGTTCATTTAGTTCGTGGTTGTAAACGTTAACTCGGTTTTCCAGCTACTTTATTCACGGTTGGGAAAGTTAGAGTGAGTAAACCGCCTTTTGAGAAAAGAGAACAAGCAGAACTCCCAGAGCCACACGCACGAACAGATTGATCAGCCAATCAAGCCACAGGACAGGAGGAAGCCAAAGATGCAAACAACCCCCGAATCAGAGAGTAGAGTTGCTACTCAGCAGTGGCGCTAACACAATATGCGAGTGTCAGGGAGTAACGGGCAAC